ATATTACTATTTTTTAATATATTTATTAGTGTAAATGTCACATTTGGTCACTAGGATTACTGAATTGTGTCATGTTTAGTCACCATAAAAAATTAATATCAATTTTGGTCACCCGAATTACTGAAACAGGTCACCTTTAGTCACTCTCCGTGGCTAACAGTAGTGCTGACTAACCTTTTGTTAACCTGCAACTTCACCGAATCCGACACGCCACGTCACTCAACCCGCCACATTATCTATCCTGACCCAATCCTTAAACCCAACCTATTAAACCAAATCAAATGCAACAAAACAATCTAAAATTGCAGATTCGACAACATTGAATTGCAAATTCATCAACAAACTAATAGAGTTTTCCCACCAACCATTTGGATGGCGACGTATGTTGCTCTGGCCGCAGAGGAAATGGACGGCAGGGCGGAGGCTAGTCTGCAGAAGAGATCAGCAATGCGAAACTCTTGGCCAGCGGCGAGGATTCACAAGCGGGGAGAAGATGCAGGGATCGAGACTCTTGGTTAGCAGCAGGGATTCCAACTGAGCGCAACGACTAAGGAGAAGAAGTAGTAGAGTGGGTGGGTTCCGATCATCCTTGATCAGGATTCTGGCAAGGAGGAAGTGAAGGCGGCTATGGAATAGAGGAGAGGTCGACTAGGGTTTTGGAGGGGAAAGAGAGCTCAAATTCGGAACCGAAAGAAGCAAAACGAGAGGTGATTGTCCCAGATCTTGACCTTATTCTCCGGATAGAGAGGTTCGGAGCCTCCGCCAATGAAACAGAGCACGTTGCATCAGAAGAGCATGGAGACGAGTTTGATTTCGCTCTGAGAGGACGAGGAAGAGGGAGAAGAAGAATCCATGTATCGGAACCCATTGTCAGTGTTGTAGATATGGATTACATTGTCGAGACCTGCGACGAAGCATCTGCAGTCCAGGTTGAAGGAGAAGTGGTAGACGGAAGGGACCTGGTCTTCGACGAGTGCATGGAAAGCGGCATCGGCGGAGGAGAACGAACCGTCGGGATCCGGAACCATTCTTCGATTCGCGAGGAAGATAAAGGGTTTGATTAAGTGGGTCAGGTTTGGTTTGGAGTTGGGTTGGGTTAATGACATGCCGGGTTTAGTAACATGGCAGGTCAGGTTTGGTCATTTTTGGCCCAAAACAGCGATGACTAGGCGCTCTCGTTAGCCATGTCAGAACTTAACGAACTTTGTTAACGGATTTGGACGGATACTAATGGAGAGTGACTTGATATTAATTTTTTCTAATGACTAAACATGACACGATTTAGTAATCCCAGTGATCAAATGTGGCATTAACCCCATATTTAATAATTTCTAATGGTTGGGATATTGGGTGGAAACTTTTTTAAATATTTTATTTTTTAATTGTCACGTCATTGGTCTAACCGTAAAAGATTATAGTTGACGGCCACCTAAGAAGAATTTAACAGAAATGGACGGTATGTGATCAACGATGAAACAAAATGTAAAGTGATTAGTGACTAATAAGAAAGAAAACTCTTTTGGGTGACAAACGTGGGGAAAAAAATGAACGAGACAAAGTGTAACTTAGCCTTTTATTTGATGAAGGGTTGTGAGAACTAGGGGTGATGAAAAAAGTCGTTATCATGTTAACAATTTTGACTAGTAGTATTCGAATAATTTGGTTTGGTTAAAAATTTGAACTTGTTTGGCTTAAGGGGTTTGGTTGGGTTTCATACACTCCTAACCAATCAAACCAATTAATCATATATCTTATATAATATATTATACTTAGAGGAATTTTACAATGCTATATAGCATTGGTGCTATAGGTTTTTGCCTTTATGGTACAACTTGAAATTGTACCTTTAACGTTATGGTACAACTTCAGATTATACCTATACTTTTTGTACAAATTCTTTTATGGTACAACTTAAACTTGTACCTTATGTGATGGTACAACTTTAAGTTGTAAAGTTGTACCATAACATAATGATACAAATTCCTTTATGGTAGAACCTAAACTTAAACATTTAATGTGTAAGTTGTATATTAAAGCACCAATGCTATATAGCATAGTATAAGTGCTCTTATACTTAATACTTTGCATAACTACTCAAGAGTAAAGTCTTCCTCCCTTTAGGATCCATAAAAAAATCTTTATTGCTTTATGCTATATTTGTTTTTGCATGTATTTATGTAAAAGGTTAACCATGTGTTTATTGTTATTTAATTCATTATATAAACTATAGGTTGATTCATTATAATGATTTTTTCCTTATGTATTGATAACGTTATGTTATATTGATTTACCAATTAATTTGATTGTTGTATAAGTTGGGTCGGTCGGTCTGGTTGACCCGTTGACTTTTTTATCAACTAAACTCAACAAAATCATGTTATTTTATTTAAAGGTCGAAAATCGACCATAAAAATCATATCGAGAATACTCTGACCAATTTTTTTTTTTAATTTGTATCGATTGAATCTGAATCTACCGATCGACAAATCACCAACATGTACAATCATAATTCTTATACTGGCAAACATAGTCAAAAAGTTAGGAACTTATGCTCCCCTAACCCACCACACGTCAATAGTTCATAAAACAGAAAATAGAGCACGTGTCCTTTTCTGATTAATCTTTCTCTGCCCCTTCCCTAATCCACATATGATCCTCATCATGACTCATGATTCGTAATTATAAGCACAGTCGTCCACCCTCCTCCACAGCAACTATCGTTTTCCAAATAGTGCAATTTTTTCCCCCCTTCTTTTTCTCCCCATCTCCACAAGCTATCATTTTCTTGAATCCAATCGAATCGCCTCCCCACTTTGACAAAACCAGACAACACCGACTAAACACCAAATATTGATTTTGTGAATATAATCAATCCTTTTATCTCTTGTTTTTTCTCTCACGCTCAATTTGTCAACTTTCTTCCACTCCTTCCAAAACTTAACCATAATTGAATATGCCAAAATATGAATTGCTGAGTAAAATAATGATAATACTATAAACGGTGAAATAAAATTGGAAATCAAACCCACGAGATTAATCGGTTAATGATATAGTTGAAAATGTATTGGTTCCACTTCTGCCGATATGGTGTGGTAGGAAGATAGCCATTGCTTAGGTTCTTGACGAAGGTCAGATAGAATTCTCGTGTTCCACGTCCCGATGTCGATCACATGGTACAATGTTTTGTGGGATATGTATGGAATTCCAAAGCACTGAGGTTTAATTTGATTGATTATTCATTACGATGGATACCAAAATCTAGGGTGTTGGTATATGGGTCAAAGAATTGAGGATCAAAATAAGGATTAGAGATTTGAGGATAATTGGGAGAATATAATTAGGGATTTAGAGAGAAGCTTGGAGGAGAAGAACGAGAGAGAGAGAGATGTTCAGCCGAGGAAGCTCGACAAAAAGAGGGAGACTAGAGGGAGGAGGAATTAGGCATGGGAGAAAGGGAGAGGTAGAAGATTAGGGAAATTATAATCCGCAGATTGACCCACTTTGACTTTGACCAGATGAGAAAAATGGGTCACACGCACCCGTCAGGTCGACCGCTACAAGATACCGAGTTGGAGGTCGAATTGTGTCATTTTTTTTCTTTGGTTTGCAAAATGCGCCTAATTTCTGATTTTTCTTTTCGGCTAACTCAATATTTGAAATTCTTAATTGAACATTTGAATATTGATGTTATATAAGTGTGTGTGAATTTTCACTATATTTTGGATCTAAGTACGATATGTGTACTTTAGTTTAATGTTATATGTTACTTAGATGAGATTTGATATAATTTATCAGGATAAGTAGAATATAATGACTCTTTCCATATTTCCGGACTAAAACGGGTGACCAATACCCTTAACCCACTAGCTCGACCGTGTCCGGGTCAACCCGTGGGTTGACAACCTTGGCAATGTGTAGTTCCAGATTAGGTTAATTTCTACCTTGTTCCTCCAATTCTAGGAAACAGCATGCTTATTATTAAAAATTAATGACAAGTCACTGCAATACTCACTCCACCCGCTCATTCACTCATCGTTAACGCAGTACAGAGCCGAAATTTTAATGCCTGAGCCATTTTCTTATCAATTAATGAACTCCAACGTTAGGGAAGCCCCCAGAGATTATGCAGATTTCAGAACGGCGCACCAGAACAACTGCTACAGTACAAAACTCGGCCGCACTCTACTAGCTAGCTCCCCTGCCTCTGCAGCCGACTCATAGCCCAAAAACCCCAATCCCCATTTCTCCAGGGGCGGAGCTACAGCATGTCTCGGGGGGGCCCCGGCCCCCCCGAGAATCTCGAAAGTCACGTATAAATAAGTCGGGATCGTGTTTACAAACTATAATTTATATATAAAATATAAACCGGGCAAAGTTAAGACATAAAGTTTCTTGTAGCCTAACGGAAGATGAACTATTTATAACCCAAAGATCTCGGGTTCGATTCCAAAGGGAAGCAGTTTATAGCTTTCCCCTAGGTTAATTACTTTTATGGTAGTTTACCTAAGCTACAACTTCTCCTTCCTTTTCTTTTATAGTAAGCGCCCTAGGTTAATTACTTTTATGGTAGTTTACCTAAACTACAACTTCTCCTTCCTTTTCTTTTACAGTAAGCGGGCATTAAATACTTTAGTCATTAACTTTGTAATTTTTATTTTCCTTTTTAAATTATAGTTTACATCAATTAATTACCGCTTTTGCTTCTTGAAATATATTATTTTTTATTATTCTAATTTATAGTAAATATAATGTGAAAAATATTTTATATGGTTATAATAAAACAAAATTTGTATAAAAATAGATTTTTAAACCTAAATGTTTTAATTATTAGTATTTTTTTTAGTCTTTTGCAGTAATGTATTATGAAATCCGGCCCCCCCGAGCACTAAATGCTAGCTCCGCCCCTGCATTTCTCCCTTTCCCATAATCATCCATTAAAACCCTAATTAAATAATCTTCCTCAACATTGAAAATCGAATCCAAACCCGACCCAACTAACTGGCAAAAAAGAAGAGAACAAACACAAAGAACCCAATAAAGCTGCAATTCCTTCCATCTCTGTTCCCTCTGCTCATAAAACCCTCAGAAATTCGCTTCAGAAAAGAAAAACCCTGCCTCTCTCTCTCTCCTCATCGCTCCGTCCATAAAATCCTACACCTGGTTGCTCTTCTTCCCCTTCCACACAGACCCATTTCCCCACGCTGCTCTGTTCTTCTTCCTCTTCCGCCATTACTGAATCTCTAGAAGAAAAGAAACAAACTTTTCTTCGATCATGCCTTCAGTGGCCACCATGGGCGAGACAGCAGCAACCACAACGAAGCGGAGGATGAAACCCTTCATCCACGGCGTCCCGGTCACCACCGGAGCTTCTACAGCTCTGCAGCAGCAGAATCCTCTGCCGCCGCCGCCGGAGCAGGAGCAGCTCCCCTGCCCGCGCTGCGACTCCACCAACACCAAGTTCTGCTACTATAACAACTACAACTTCTCCCAGCCCCGCTACTTCTGCAAGTCCTGCCGCCGCTACTGGACCCAGGGCGGCACCCTCCGCGACATCCCCGTAGGCGGCGGGACTCGCAAGAGCGCCAAGCGCTGCCGTACATCTCTCACTCCCGCCGCCGCTGCTACTACTTCCGTTACCACTTCCACCGTCAATAGTCCGGATAGCTCGGCTGGATTCGAGGGGATTGCTTCGCCGTTGCTGGTGGGGAAGCCGGGAGCGACGTCGATGCAGTACGGCAGCGGCGGCGATGGGGTGGGGAAGGCGGATTCCTTCTGGGCTATGGGAGGTCCATTGGGCCTTGGGCTTGACGGGAAAGGGAATGGGCCCGGGTCTCTCTGTGGTAGCTTTACCTCTCTTTTGAGCAATGCTGGGCCTGGGCTTGGAGGCGGTGGTGGGTTTGTTCCGGGGCTTGAAGATGTGGGCCGAGGGATCTGGCCTCTTCATGGGGTGGAAGACGGTGGCGCTGGTGGTGGTCTTGGCGGTGGCAACATTACCGGCGGTGGCATTACTGGCGGCAATACGTGGCAGTTCGAGAGTGGGGAGAGTGGGTTTCTTGTGGGCGGCGGCGGTGGCGGCGATTGTCTCTCTTGGCCTGATTTGTCAATTTCAACTCTTGGAAATGGACTCAAATGAGTGGTCTTTGGGATATGGAGGTATCACTTTGTAATTTGTTCGTTTTAAGGTGGGAGAGAGGAAAGGAATTGTAGAAGTTGGGGTTTAATAGTATTAGTTAGTGATAATGGTATGTTAGCTAATATGAAATCAGAGGTAGACAAAAGAAAGTGGCCCTTGTATTTTTGGTGTTGGCTTGAATGCTTCTCTTAGTGACTTTAGTGTTGATATTTCGATTATTCGATATTTAACCAAGACCAACTCTTTGTGTAGTTAACATGGTTGAGGTCGGAGTCCTTCGCTTGTTGAACTTATTGCTACACAGGAGATAATTTGATGATTCTTCTTACTCATTTACAATTTGGAGGCGACAATCTTTTAACGGTTAACTAGAATTATTATTTTAGGCTATCAACTCATCTGAAAAAAAAAACTAATAAGCTCCCTTTTTCAATCATGATGAGCGTAAGTTGAGTTGGAGGTTTGGTATCGGTATTTGGAATATGTTGAAAATTGTACTAAATTTATTGCTAGTCGTTTGGTTCCAGAGATTGAGATCAAAATATATTAAAATATAAAAAATCTACAATTAATTACCTTCTCAAGTATCTTCTCAATGTAGAAAAATTGAGAGAAGAAATCTTCTTTGTTCTTCCGCTTTATTCAATACATAGGATCACATTGGCCTAGAAATATCATATGGCAAATTTTTTCCATAAAGTTGGATAGGTCCTAAAAATAAGCATGTCATCTACATACAAACATTTGATGACTCCTTTGCGAGAATCATCCACCATTGTACACACTTTTGTTTTATTAGTTTAAATAAATCACTAGACAATTCAAATTTGTCTAGTACTTCGTAAATATCAAATAGAGAACCATCAAACTTCGACATTTGCAATGTAAAATACTCTGCAACATCAAAATCAACTAGGAAGGGATATGCCTTAAACCAACACCATACATTGCAAAACATCTTTCTCACCAAATAAAACTTATAACCAAGCACCGCAACAATTTTCCAACACATGCCTCGACAATGTAACTACACGGGTGCAGATCCTGTGACTAGGGGTGCTTAGTTACTTGATTAAGCCCATCCCAGCCCTTAGATCTGAACACCGCAATCTGACGGTTAAAAAGTGGGAAGGACTATTTAATTAATGACAGGGGTAGTTTGGGTATTATGAAAAATTACGAAGTATACAAACCATACTTACAATCAATACAAACCATACAAACAATACAAACTACAACGACAAAACATACAAACAGATTTACAAACATTACAAACGTATGAACTGTACAAACAATACAAACTAGACCGACAAACAATACAAACCATACAAAAAGAAAAATGACTCGCACGAAACTACGCCACAAATTAATCCCAACTAGAGCTCAAGTTCTTAAACTCTAGTCGGGTGCAGTATATGGCAAGTATTTAATTGTCAAACCCGGGCCGGTCCATGTACCCCTACTTCAATCGCTTAAGTTGTTATCTAGTAAAACTATTTTGGGTTTAAAACTATGAAAACTACAAATGAAAACAAGTAAGGAAAGTAAATGGAGGAGAATTCTACTTGAGAGATCTTCACCTGGGTATTGCTCCCCCTAGTCTCGTGCTAAGAAGCGACAAACAAAGCTCTAATGAGAAGGACGTATTCATACACCGCTAGGTGGCGCAACTAGCTAGGGACAAACTTCCTTAGTCGATCAATGAAGGAAAATCAACAAATATAAGCTAGGGGAACTAGCTCTCTCAACCGTTAGGTCAAGAATTAAGAATCGTAGCTAGAGAGTCTAGCCCTCTTTACCGATTAACCAAGGAGATCCCTAACTCTCTCTTACTTAGCTAATTGAGAGTCGTTGCAACAAGTTAGGAAGCTAACTCACTTAACCCTTCGGCTAAGGGCGACAACGATAGGCTACGGAACCTAACCCTCTCAACTAGCCGGCTAAGGATTGCAAACCAAACCCTCGGAACTAAATCCGGTTGGCGGAGAGACCTATCCCAGTGGAATCACGGTCCTACTCCTATATTTGAGATTTTGATCTTAAATTGACCTACAGGAGGTTACCCAAGTGACTAAGGAGTCTAGCTCCCAATTGGACCAAGAGGGGATTTCCACCCTCTAGGTTAACTTCACCCAATATTGAGTTAAAGCTCGCACACTCAATCATTCATGAATATTACCTCAAATAACATATAAAACCCTCAATCAACACAATAGGTTCATGTTCTTGCAACCTAACACATAAAGAGACTAGGATTCACAATACCCAAGTGAGTAGATAGGTTATTCCATAGCTAAACAAGAGAATACAACAAAAAGTGAAGAAATAACCATGAAGTGATGTCAATCTTTCCTCCTTGTTGCTTGAGACACCCTGGAGATGAAGAAATCTTCAATCCTCTAGCTAGGAACAACCCCAAAGCTCCTTCCTCCTCCTTTGATTTGCACTTTCTCACTCTAGAAGAAACCCTAACCTCTCACTAGAATCCTCTTTATTCTGAAAATGAAAACCTAACCTAAAAATGAAGCTCCCTTCTTCTTCCTTTCAGCTCCTCATTTAAACCCAAATCGAGCCCAGCTCCTCATTCAAACTATCAAGAAATGAGGGGCAAAATGTGTACATTTGGACCCGAATCACCCCCCCCCCCCACTTGAACGTTTGCTTGTCTCCAAGCAAACCATTTTCAACCTATGTAATTCAACCTACAAAGATAGCTAGGGGACATTTCAAAAGGCACAAGACTGTGAATCTCAACTGACTATTTGGGTATCGACACTCAAACCGTCTCAAACAAATCCAGCATCCACCACTAATGACATTCAACTGCATAAAAAATGGGAAAATGAAAAGTTCTCATTCTATCCACAATCAATGCAAGTCTCAACCTGGCCACTAATCAATCACAACCGAACATGCATAGAACTCAAGTCAAAGGAACAGACAACGGGGCAACATAGGTCCTCACCGGGATATATATGAACAAGCAAGAACAAGCCCACTTAATTATTATTGTCCATGTAGGGCTTGTTTGATGGATTTGGATCCATCCTGAGTTTTGTCTAGACTCTATTGTTTGTTTCATTTATTCAGGGCAACATATCTATGGGGACCACCAGTGACGGAGGCAACATTTTAAACCACCCCTGTCCTCTTTTTATAACTTAAATATATAAGTATCTAATTAAGAACTATTTAACAAAAAAATAATTAAAAATAATTAAATCAAAATAATTCATTTATAGATTAAAAATAACCGACTATATATACAATCATAGTTTTAAGAAACAACGACGAAGGGATTTCATATTGTGAAAGAAACGCAAAAATATTCGTTGTATACACTATTAAATAAGTCTCTTTCAGTGTATCTCGCTAAACAAGCATTAGCAAACTGGTCGCCAAATCGACTTGGAAACTTGTTCTTAATATAACACAAAGCTGAAAATGCTCTTTTTACACTTGTAGTTGTAATTGGTAGAATCAAAACTAGTGAAATTGGCGTTGTCGCTAAACAACTTCAGGGTTGTAGGGAAAATATCGAATACACATAAGGACAAAAGAGATATAATTATGTCTATGTTGCAATTGGAATTTCGTTTATGGTATAATAAATTAATTTATGTCAACTTTTGAACAAACAATGAGTTGTGTTGTAGTGACAAAATACTCTAATACTTCCTATAGATGTTGCGTTCCATCACCAATATAAACATATATGGCGTATTTTTGTTCCTCCGAAATTTACCCCTATCCCGGGACAAGGCCCAAAGGGCCTGCCTCAGCCACTTGGGACCACCGACATCGATGGTCCGAATTTATGTGCCCCACGAACTTGAAAATCCTACTCTCTCTCTTCATACATACAAATCTAATTAATCAAAGCCATCATGAAATCTATGAAACAATCAATTGTGGTTTTCAAGTCCATGATGAACCCAAAACCCTCATATATATGATTTTTCAAAACCCAATATTTAAGAAAATCTTCATCGTTTCTAATTCACGAAGCAAACGACCTACTAATTGAGCCTCAAGAGGAGAAATTAAACCATATGCTGCATTCATCTAGCATGACAATTTGATCCCGCTTCTTTGGGTATTATTGATCCTGACTTTCGCTTTCTCTCGGTCTGTCCCATCCTTTTTTAAACATGTTTAATCTCGACTTGTCTCAATATCTGTTTGTATTTATCATATATAGAATTTTTTTAAAATCATATTTTCATCCAACAATACTTTAGATAAATGCGACACTTCATCTTTCAACAAATTGGACTCAATTAATCTATCAATTATATTTTTATTTATGACCTATTTATCCTTTGTTTGTTGTTAAAAATAAATATTTTCTTCAAATAGCAAATAAAAATGGGTCGACCTGACCCAACTCTTACTCACACGTAGTGGCTAAGCCACTTGAACATGAGGGAGGTTTCATGCACCACCACAAAACTGAAACACACACGACAAAAATATATATCGCTTATGGTTTGTTGGAATGGTGAGAAGTGGGACCTCTCTAGTATAATTTAGAGTTTTTTATATGGTAAATACTATATTTTAGATATTTTTAGAATTGAGGAAATACATTGTGATTTATTGCAAAACATGAGTAAACATTATATTTATTTTAACGTTGGACCTACTTAATAAAAGTATGGTTATGTTATTACTTGCACAGATATTACCCAACCAGATTCATTCTTAAATATTGTATCAAGATATTCGTCTCGCCCCGTCCATTACCACCACTATTCATATCTATTACTAACCTTACCTGCTCTTGGATAATCGCACATTTTGTTCCTTATAAATGGTCGTACAAGTACTTAATTAGTTCACAAAAGCAACCATAATTTCTCCTAACAAATTGGGGAGAAAAATAACCTTTGCTATTTTAGTTGAAAATAACAAGAAATGTGTTCATAGTAGAAGCCATAACTAGCGCAGCGGAACCAGGACAACTGTTTTTCCCAGGGAAGTCGTAATCCTTTCAAACATTTTTAGTACTCCTTGCCTTCTATAAAAACACACCTACCGTAATTGAGATGATTCCAACAAATTCTCAATATAATTGACATTTGGTGATTTGGTTCATCATGACTTCCTTAATTTATCAACTCCTTGCCTCCACCACAAGTTTTCTCCTCTTCCTTGCCTATTTCCAGCATTTCACAGGTAACAGAGAAAAAAAAATATCGTACTTTATTTTTTTTTTACCATCTCCTTAAATTTGCTTTTTCACCCCTCTCAATTTGAACGTCCTGACTGAAGTTAGACTCAGTGCCAGCTAACTTCATTCAAATCGCCTCGCTAGCTATTTCGTCATTAAATGCACGCATTAACATTATCTACAAAAGTATCACTTTCATGCTCATCCAACAACCGTAATTATAAAGGTGAACGATTCGACGATGTCAACCCAATCTCTGAGCCTAACCCAACCCATCCAGCACACTCACAAATTTCCTGTTTTTTTTTCTTCTTTCCTGAACTTGATCCAACATTTCAGTACATAATTTGAGCTACCCAAGTAAGTCTTGATAAAATACGCCACCCAACATTTTCGCAGGTAAAAATACATTTTTTATCACTATCTTCTTCTTTCTCATTTCATCTGGGTTTTTTTTTTCCCTCAGTCCCACTAGCGTGCTGAGGAAAGTTAGACTCGTTGCCAGCTGACATCATTCAAATCTCGTAGCTAGCAATTTCGTTATCAAATGCACACATTAACATTATATGCACAAAAGTATCACTTCATATGCACAAGCAGCAACAAAAATCATAGAGCCGAATGATCATCCACGATGTCAGCCCTGTCTCTGAGCGACCCATATATCCAATATGCTAGCAAATTTCGAGGTCGTTTGGAAGTTGCGATTGTTAAATAGATGTATTGTTGAGAATGCATGTATAATATTATACATGTATTGTCGAATTTGATGCATTGTAGAATACAACGTTTGGTATGTGTGATTGTGTATGTCGCATCAGCTAAAAACTGAGACAAAACAATCTCAACTCAACTATCTCAACAATCACAACTAAAAGTTGAGATATAACAATCACTCAAAATGAGTGATAGTTTCTATCACATCACAGAAACAATCCATGTATTGTTTCTGCTAAAAAAACAAAAAAATGATGCACTGTAAACAATACATGCATAATGACAATCTCAACAAGACAATCGCAACTTCCAAACGACCCCTTCATGTATTTTCTTTCTTCAACTCGATGCAGCATTTCACTGCATAATTTGAGCTACATTTCCCCATATAAAAATAAAAATAAAAAAAGATAAAATTTCTGACTACGCCACTGTAGATGCACATGTCTCCCCGACACATGGTTTGGCCAATCTAATGAAACATTGTTTTTTCTTAAATCATTTTCCCCATGCATGCATGCAGACGCACAAGGACTAGGTGTGTGACCCTCGCCCGAGAAATGCAGAAACCGCCACCACCCAAGGCCATACTATGGCTCCTCCGGCAAAAAAACATAAAGAAGGTCCGAGTCTACGACGCATTCAACGACCGAGACCTCCTGGAAGCCCTACAGGACACCGGGATCGACGTCCTGGTCGGGATGAACAACGACGACGTGTACCGGGTCGCGGCCGACGTGTCCTCCAACGAGGCCGCCAAGTGGCTGGAGCAAAACATCAAGCCGTACTACGAGAAAGTCAGCTTCCGGTGCCTCCAGATCGGGCGGCGGATGTCGCAGCAAGGGAACCGCCAGATCTCGGCCGTGTTTCAGGCGCTGGTCCACGTCCAGACGGCGCAGAAGAGGCTGGGGCTCGACATCTCGCTCGGGATTGACTTGGATACCAACGTCATGACGGAGTCGTTCCCGCCGTCGGCGGCTTCGTTCGACGTGTCCATATTGCCGGTGCTCCGGCCCATGTTGACGTTCATGGAGCATAATATGGGGACACTCATTGTGAGCATTTACCCCATGATCAGGTACGTCTACGTGGGTGGCGATTTTGTCCACCGCTAGAAATTATCATACAAAGTTGATATTGTGAGTAAAAATATAACATTCATAACTAAATCTCTTCCAACGACTCTAGTTAGTTAGTGAGATCAATGAGTTTTTGACATGGTATAAAAGCTTTCGGTGATCGATAAGTCTGTGTATGAAATCTCGACGATCCTCATTCGGTAAACACTGGATATTTTATATATGTGCCAACTTCAAACCTACATGAGTTAACTTTCGCTTAGGAGGAGAATCAACTGATTTTTGACATATATTTGAACGAAGTATGAACATGTTTGGTTTTTCCGTCATAAACCAAGTACTGGCCTCAATAGCTCAAGTTGTTGGGAGAGGTCTGTGTATGAATCTTAACTATTTTTTTTACACCAGCAAACTCATGATCTTGAAGTTATCTTGACGTTTGAACATACTCGTAATATATACCACGCGTTTTAAGACAATGTTTAATATTGTGGGTTGTGAAGACTTAAACACGTGATTTTAAGTACAAACTTGCTATGATACGTACCATGTAATAAACCAACTGGTTCAAATAACTCGAGTTGTTTGGGAGAGTTTATATATGAATGAAACTTTTAATTTCTTCCACTTTTTTGTTCCATTCAAACTTTTGTTTTTGAAGGTACGTGACAGAATTATACTACGAGTACAAGGGCGTCTCCATCGACTACGCGCTGCTGAACGGCGAGACGGTGGTGGTGACGGACAATGGCCTCCAGTACACCAACATGATGGACGGCCTGATGGACGCCTTCTACACGTCGCTGAAGAAGCTCGGGATCTCGATGAGGGTGATCGTCGGCGAGACAGGGTGGCCGTCGAGCTCCGAGGTCAAATACGCCACCCAGAAGCTGGCCGGCGAGTATATCTACAACTTGGCGGAGCGGCTGAAGAACAACGTTGGGACGCCGTTGAAGCCCCAGTGGCACGTGGAGACCTTCATCCATACGCTCTACGTTCAGGACAAGAACAACGACGGGATGTATAAGTGGTATGGAATGTTTTATCCCAATGGTTCGCCGGCAAATCCATACCTCTCTCTTTGAAAGAAAGAAGGATAAAAGGAGAGAACTGAAATTAGGGTTATTGTATTCTTGAGCGTGTGTGTACAAGTTATTTGGGTAGGGTTTGTGATTCTAGGAATGCATGTATTTTTTAAACTAAGGAATTCTATTTCTTGGGTAATCTACAAATATATTATAGCCGAGTTGGGGCAGTTTTTCAGCATTTCAAATTTCCTGCAATGAGAGCAAAAGTAGTAAGGGTAATTGTGTCTTCACAATCATTATTTATTTTTTGTTCATAAGAAAAAATAAATATATCTCGGGATTCGAACCATGGTCTTACCAAACTAAGACAACCATTTTCAATTACGCTAAAGAAATCTTTTGTATCTTTTTAAGTAAAAAATCTGAAAACCTGAAATCTAAAAATCATACGACTTTTCCACTATTGTTAGCTAGCCACTAACTTTCACGTAATTACTTTCTTTGTTATTTGATATTTGAATTTTCATATTTTGATTATTTTAATTTGAGTTTAATAATAAATTTAACTTATGTCTATCTTATAAATGGAGAATAATTTTAAAATTGAAACCCAAATATTATCGTTTCGAATATTACATATTGAATTGCAATATTGAATGTGATGTAAAATTCTTAAATTGGTATTAATTTTTAGAACTATTAAAGCAACGATATTGTTATGCAAATCGTAAGTGACCAGCTTTTTTAAAATTTTAGTGTGGTTTACTGTTAAATCCTCACTCTCTTGATAATATCACACGATTGGAAAAATTGGCGAGTTTAAAAGAACACAATTTATGAATACCAATTTTTCTAGACGATTTCAATTATTTAAATATTTTTTTATATGATAATTGACCATATCTATCATTTATAGTTAATTAGTTTAATATAAAATAATCGCAATACAAGACAAATCATGAAAGTCGAGCTGGAGTTTTCATGGATGCATTGATGCGGTCATGTGCATTAGCAAGGTAGGTACCACAAGATATGTCTAATTTTTTTGTTGAGTGAATAAGATTGTACTTCAACTAAATTTAGAGTATGTTGGTTGATAAATAATTTTTTCATTGTACATCAACATACTCATTGACTACAGGTAAAAAGAAACCTGAAATAGTACGTGGAACTGAGGTAGTGGCAATGATCTGGAATAGTTGGCCAGCCCACATTGGTACCTTCTACTTGAAATTTTTTTGTAATCCTTTACTGGTCATAGCTCTACAATTGCCACCTTCTTGCATATCCTTCAACAACACTTATCTTCCTTCCACATCAAAGTACAAATACAAGTTGATGAAGTCAAACTTAACAGGGTTGATGGTTTTCAACCAATCCAACCCTAACACCATCTCATTGGAGAGTATAAGCTCCATAACCTTGCATCAAACTTGAATTGGTTCCCTTGCATTTCCCACAAAAATCTCTACAGATCAAGTTGCTGGCCAAAATGGTCATCCGCCAGTTTAACTCTCAAAGGAGTAGTTGGAGGAGCACTTCTAGTATGCTATATAGTATTGGTGCTTTAATGTACAACTTAAAGTTGTACCATAACATTAAATGTATAAGTTTAGGTTGTACCATAAAGCAATTTGTACTATTATGTTATGGTACAACTTTACAACTTGAAGTTGTACCATCACATAAAGGTACAAGTTCAAGTTGTACCATAAAAGAATTTGTACAAAAAGTATAGGTACAATCTGAAGTTGTACCATAACATAAATGTACAATTTTAAGTTGTACCATAAAGGCAAAAACCTATAGCACCAATACTATATAGCATTGTAAAATTTCTCGTAGTTGGAGGTTAGGATACAGTTGAGTTCCATTAACTTTTGCTCATTGATAAAGGTACGAGTACTACCTGTATCGATCAGAATATACAATTTGGCCTTGTTCATCTTACCCTAAACATCTAAGGAATTAACAGCAGTTCCACTACTTAATGCTCTTCCACTACTGCTTCTACTTCATCAATACCTTCCACAACATCACTGTCTTCATCCTCACTCCAATCTAGTGGTGGTAATATCCCAACATCATCACCTTGAAGAGCATTCAGATGCCTCTTAGCCTCACACACATGACCATAGTAATACTTGTCCTCACTTATAACGGGATCCCTTTGCAAATTGTCTTTGAAAAAAACAGTAGAATTCCCTTTGATAAGGGGTTTAGAACGAACATTAGACCCTTCCCACTTTTTAGTTACCGGATTCTTACTGCGAGAGGCTCCCTGATTAGGTGTAAAACTAGTACTACTTCGCCACTCCTTCCTCCTTGCTTCATTAGAGGCCTCGTCAAGCTGAGCCAATTGGGAAGTATGAGCGCCACGGTTCATGGCTGCCACATCTTCATAACTAGCCTAAGCTCCTCTTATAGACCACTAATGAAACTGGACACAAAGTAAACTTCATCCAATGTAGGATTGTAACGAACCATACGTGATTTTAGTTACTCAAATTTTTCTTGGTATTCCAATAGTGATCCTGTTAGAAACAAAGTTTCTAACGGGTTTCTAGATTAGATCTAGAGATTGGGAATTTAGGGTTTATAGAATAGAATTGGGGATTTAGGGATTTGAGGAGAATTTGGGGAAGAATAGAAGAGAATCGGCCTAAGCCTTTAGAGGGATTGAGGTCAAGAATTGAGAGGATTGGGATAGGAATTCAGGGAGATAATTCTTTATTAATTTCTGCTTAATATGACGAATGACCCAAAGTACATATATATAGGGAAATACTAAAAAACCCTAAGAATAAACCTAATTCTACTAGAAGACTATTAACCTTAATAAGACTTACCCTAATAATAATTAAAATAATAAATATAGAAACCCTAGATAAATCGGTTTCTAACATCTCCTCCCCCTTCAGACCAACCTTGCCCTCAAGGTTGATCGACTCGACCCATTTCTTCACATCTCCCGCGCAATCCTTGTTTTGTCTTCTCCACTCCTTGCGCTTTCTTTTCTTCCAATCACGCTCTAACTCTTCCCTTAGACTTCTTGCATTAATCTTCTCGAGTATGTCCAACTCCTCGAATTTCATTTCTACGGGCCCATTAATAACTTCCTCGATAAGTTTGAACTTTAGCATATCCTCTTTTGTTCGCATCATGCTCAAATCACTTAGAGACTTCAAAGATACTTTCGTGTGTAAGAACGTATCCTTGAGTACCAACTCATCAATCCCCTCAAACATCTTCCTCGGAGTAAGCCCATAATTCGAGCTTGTTGCTCCCCCAATTAATTTGGGGTCCTGCTTTCTAGAAAGCCCACCCATCAATCTCATAAACCCATCATCCTCCAAGCCAACCATTATGGAGGAAGAACTCATGCAAGGCCCGTAGCCAGAAATCAGCCTGGCTTGACTCCTCCCAAACTCTGGCCCAGTCAAAGGCTTCTGCTCGGCCCATGTCACCTCAAGCTTCATCCCATTTTTTAGCATAAAGTATTGCTTCAGCCTCCAACTTACGAGGCCCAATCTGCTGGCCCATGCGACTTGATAATTTCGGCCCGCCCTAAGCTCCCCTTGCAGATCGGCTCTTTCAACACAAGGCGACCTAGGGTTTTCGAACAAGAGGTCCCCGCCGTCCTTCTGCTCCTTCTCAATTGTCGGCTATCCCATCTTCGGCGACCCCTTCAGTTCTCCAAGCGGCGGCAAGTAGAGAACCGGGCAGCGGGGAGCAGAACCCGACGCCGGTCTCGCCTCGGCCTTCAGTTCCCCGGCCGTTGACGCCGCCGCCGCCGTGACCTCCTCCGCCTGGCGTGACGACACGCGCCACCCTTCCAGCGCTGCTGCCCGCGGTGCGTCCTCCTATTGCGCCCCCGCTTCGAGCGGGCCGTCTGCGGTGGCCTCGACCCGCGTTCGCTGCGACCCGCCAGCGTCCGTCCGGGGCTCCGTCGCCCCCTCCAGCCACTTTGCCTCACCCGCCGCGACGACAAGGTCGGCCGTCGGCGTGGGTCGCCGCTGCTGGCCAGCCCTTCGCCCCGCCATCGTCGCTGCGACTGGAACTGTCGGCGACCGTGGCGCCTCTTCTCCCTTCTCTCTCCGGCGGTGAGGGAGGAAACTCAGCGCCGCCTCCCTTCTTCTTCTTCCTCGGCGAGAAGAGGATTCGGCCACCGACTTTACTCGTCTGCTCTTTCAGCGGCGAGCTCTCCTCCTGCAGCGCGCCATTCTTCGGGCGACGAAGAGCTATGCCGTTGACCTCCTTTTCCACCTCCGTCGTCGATCCCGTCTTCGACGGCCAACGAATCTTCCTGCAATCAAGAGGAGAGCTCGATCCGACGATCCAAACCTTCAGCCTCACCACTCTGGCTGCCGATGAATTGCAGGAGGGAGTGAATCCGCCGCCCACCCTCCAGTTCCTCACCAATTTCCTCGCCTCTTTCTCGGTCGGCGACGCCAAGAACGGCTGCAACTGCTCACTTCTCGGCTTTTTCTTGAACTTACAGTTGACCACGCCTAGCTTCCGACCTGATCGCAGCTCCACGGTAGGATTGGCGAAGAACGATGGTGGTACTGCTGGTGAGGCCAGATGATCGAGTTGGGAGGTGGCCACAGGAAGCAGCTGCTGTGCGCCAGGAATCTCCGTTTTGTGGGCTTCAAGTGTTGCGGAAGCTACGAGCTTTGTTTTGAATCTCGCCGGCGTGTCCTCAACATGTGGTGGAGCTTCGTTTGCTACCTTTTCGTCGTGGACAGGGGGTGCGGCTGCCGCAGACGGTGATTTAGAGGTTGTCATCTCTCCATCGTGGTTGTGGCCCGAAGTTGTAGTGAATTTAGGGATTCGGATGATGAAATCACTTTTCCCAAAACCAGCGCGATATTCGGCAACGTTGCATATTGCTCTGAACCGAATAAGCTTCTTGAATCGGATCCATCTTTGTCCATCAACCAATGGCCGTTGTCCGGTTATGGCTAGCACATCAGATCCAATCCTCTACACTTCCACGTGCTCCTTTTCAAACCCAGGCAAGGTGAAGAACATAATAACGCGATTTCGCAGATCCATCCTCATGATGTCGGGTTTGATGTCTTCATATATCCATTCGTCCCTGGTTGAGAGTGGTGGTGAACTCAGATGTTCGACCATGGCTCTGATACCAGATGTTAGAAACAAAGTTTCTAATGGGTTTCTAGATCAGATCTGGCGATTGGGAATTTAGGGTTTATAGAATAGAATTGGGGATTTAGGGATTTGAGGAGAATTTGGGGAAGAATAGAAGAGAATCGGCCTAAGCCTTTAGAGGGATTGAGGTCAAGAATTGAGAGGATTGGGATAGGAATTTAGGGAAATAATTCTTTATTAACTTCTGCTTAATATGACGAATGACCCAAAGTACATACATATAGGGAAATACTAGAAATCCTAAGAATAAACCTAAGTCTACTAGAAGACTACTAACCTTAATAAGACTTACCCTAATAATAATTAAAATAATAAATATAGAAACCCTAGATAAATTGGTTTCTAACAGATCCTCTGTGTTGAAGCTTGTTAAACTTCCCTACTATACCTCCATATTAATGATCACCAAAGTTACGGCATAAATCAGCTACAAAGTCCTCCTAAATCCATTCACCTCGCCCAAACATCCAACCCTCTAACCATATATCAGGACGACGATCAAAGTAAAATGAAGCCATTCACACCTTCTAATCATTAGGAACCTCATAAATGTCAAACAATTTCTCGCATTCCCGGGTCCATTCTCTAGGGTTATCACCCACAAACGCAAAAAAATCGAGACGAGGCAACTGACTGGATTGTTACCTCGATATGGAGAATGAAAGTGCTTCCGCTTTGCATATTCAATACTGCAGTTCGATATGCAATATTTCAAGCAATGAAATTTGTGTTGCAATTTTAAGATTAGCCGTCATTTTATAGGTTATGAAAATTATAAATCATGTATTAAACTTTGCTTTTCAGAAGATTTAATATGCTAGCTAAACGTGAAAAGTATTCTACTTTTCAAATCTTCGCTTAGTGCATGTTTACAATTTAGGAAGATAAAATAAACTTGTTTAGTGTAATTGTTTGTGATTATTGTTTTTGTTTGAAGAGACCATGGTTCAAATCTTGATATTGATACTTTTTCATATGAAGTAGATAATAATTTTGATGACAAAAATACTTTTCCTACTTTTACTCTCGCTTCACGAAATTTAAAATAGGGAAATCTTAAAACATTGAATATATCTTATAGAAATAGCTTCTTCAACCAAACAGGAAAGGAATTATACCTGAAATTATTATATCTTATAGATTGTGATTAATTGTGAAATCGGAACTCAAGTAACATTATTTCAAATATTAAATAATAAATTGTAGGTGTGGTTCAATTTAGACAAAATACATGTGTAGCCAAAACATGGATCTTTGTGACAAATATAGTAATTTTTTGTCACAAATCTTCACATAATATAAAGATAAATTGGACACTATGACAAAAAATAGCTTCCTAAAATCACTCTCATGCCACGAAATTCAAATGAGACTCTCATTTTCCAATTTTATCATTATAATATGTGTATATATGTCACAAAAAAATGATAATACTCGTCACAAATGTCAATGTTTTGGTAACACTTTTATATTTTGTCTAAACTAAACAACACATACAATTTAATATTAATGTTTGAATCAATACTGCTTGAGTTCCGATTTCAGAACTAATATCTTTCTATAAAATATAAGTAACTTAGATAACAATAAATAGAAGCATCATCACCAAACATATTTCTAGAGTTCAATCAAAGAAATAACAATAAATAAAATATAGCTTAGTTGGTTATAATTCTCTTCTTCATACAAATGATCAAGGGTAAATACAATTTAATATCCAAACCTTTCATTTTAAACAATATAATAGCCAAACCTTTTCGAAAACAATCTAATATCCAAATCGTCAACTTTCCGTTCGTTTGACCGTTAGTTGACACTTCCAAAAAGTTCGAAGTGCGACACTTCATCAATATCCATCGATATCTTCTCTGAAAAACCACCAACATATCGTGGTTCCAAACCCGAGAAGTCCATGACTCCACCATGATGGTATAGAATATCTAAATATTCAGTCATCTGCAATGCCAAAACAAGAAAACAAAGTTGTATTGTGACAATTTCCCCTAAACAAAGCTTTTTTGAAGTGTCAACCAACGGTCAAATGGACGGAAAGTTGACGATTTGGATATTAGATTGTTTTCGAAAAGGTTTGGCTATTATATTGTTTAAAATGAAAGGTTTGGATATTAAATTGTATTTACCCAATGATCAAAGTTCAAACTCTAATGATAATATTTTTAGTTTTTAATATATAAATAAGAAATTATCAAAATAATATTTTTAATATATAAACATCAACGGGGACAAAAATACCTTCCCTTCCCTAACTTTGTACATTTACATTTTGGTCCTTGTTCATTACACACCGGCCACCGCCATAGCTGTCGACACGAAGAAGGAATGACCGGCGATTGTGAACTGCCTCTTGCCGCCTAGTCGATGACGATGAGTGCCTTTGTCCTTATTTCTTTAGTGATTTAATAACTCGATTTTCTCAAAGGAGCTTGATTTTCGTAAGCTTGAATTGTTTCAAGTTAAAAGAACTGAGCCCGCTGCTGTTTTACAGGAGCCGGACGTAGGTTCTGTGTCAGAGAAATGAAGAAAAATCTTCTTATCGCACTCTCTAAGGTTCTGCATCTTTTACCCCTTGTTGTTTATGCTTCAATGTATCAGTAGTTTGAACGACTTCTGCCATTTTAGGTTTACAGAGATATTCAGGTCTGGATTCCTGAAACGGAGGTTGATTCTGATGAAGTAAGCTCCTTCACAATTTTCTTTTCTGAAATTCTATGATCAAGTTAGTTTCCAGAGAGAAGCATTATGTTTCTGAGATATATTTCCGACAGAAGACCATGGTTTCTGAAATGTTTATCGGAGGATGTACATGAGCAGCATAACTGTTTGATGAAAGTCCTAGCTGACTTGGTATGCACTCTCTCTCCCCCTCCCTCTCTATCTGCGCCTGGAGTTGCTTTGATAAGATGAACATGTAGAGTTAAATCTATCCAATTGAGTGAGGTTGATTTGGATGTATCAATAATATTACACAGGAGGAAGGCATGGTGGTTTCAAAATGCTTTTCCAAGATCAGTTTTACTATACTTATGTACTTGTAAATTCATTGGAAGTAGCACTGTCCTAACGTGGTCATTTGCTATGACATGCAGATTCTTTTACTTACAGTCGACAGCCGGTACATACAGCATTCAGTAGGAAAGATTGGCAAGGCCGTTTCTAAGCTTCAGGCTCCATCTGTGAGTTTGTAGTTTGTTTCCATTTGTAGTCTACTGGGATACATAAATTTCAAAAATGGTTTGTGAATGTTTTGACAGGGAAGTAACTGGGACTCTTTGGTTCATTCACTCTGGATGTGCCTGGAATTGATAGTGAAATGCATGTTGTCCTGTTTCCAAATTCAAATGCTGACGAGGATTTACATTTTGGATCCTCAAGTCTAAGGTCTTAATTCGTTGTCTACGAAATACAGACTGGCCCGCAGCAGCTCATATAATCCAAATCTTGCGGAATATACTGAAAAGTTTGAAGCAATGAGTCTCATGATCAGCATGAACAAGGTTTTGGTCTAGTGGTAATACCACTAGCCTTGATGGAGCTCCCAACTTCGATTCCCTTGGTTAGTAAAAGTTGTGTTCTTGGGGAGTTTGATCTCATTTCTTTGTTCATTGGTTGAGCAAACCGCAGCTCCAGAGTCCACAGTCCATCTCTGAAATCAACATTCAATACTTCCCATAGTTATTAATCTTGTGCCTAACATTATAAAAAAAATAATAATAATCTTGTGCCTAAATTTCTCTATTGGTGTCTTGGCAAGCCAGAGAATAGGGTCAAACAGCCCACCTTTCAGTACTTCACTCACAAATTGCTGGTAAGACCTTGCTTCATTTTATTTTTCTGGCTAGATTAATTTGGAGTAGAAAAATATGATTTCTTGTCATGGAAACCATTGCAGGAGATCGTGAATGATAGATAGTTTCCTATGTTTTACTGGTTCATATTGATATGCTGTGGTCGTTTTTTGTTGAGTTATTGATTGATGGGTTCAGGAATTTAAGATCAGCAGAATCTTTCTGCAGATGTTAATGCCGAGACTTAGTTTAAGTTGCATCACGCTTGTTTCCTGGTTGCAACTTCTCCATGACAACTTTGAAGAGCTACTTTTCAAACCCATGTCTAGGATTGAGTCTTGTCAAAATGATTGCCTAGAAGTCTCCCCGTTTCTCTCAAGCGTCTCTCAGGGAAAAGCATAAGACAGGAGCACTCCTTCATTCTAAAAGGCATGCCATACTCCTATTCTTAGCTGCTGCTTTAGTTTGATCGGCTCGTCAGGAGAGAATGCCAAGCAACCTCCTGCAGCTCATAACTCTCTCTCGGCTGTTGACTTGGTCTCTGACCCTGATTCTTCTGGTAGAAGTTAAGGATTTATTGAGCTCTACAAATGGCTCCAAGCCCATCTCCAAAACAGCTTCTTATAGGGAAAGGAAATGTGTATGGACAAGTGTATACTTTTTGCAAGATCTTTTCTCCAGCTATATTTGCATGAGGTTAGAACCTTCTTAGCTCAGGGATTTGTTAGCTACTATAGAACACAACACACCCTTTTAAATTGTTGTCTATTGCTTGAAAATATTAGCGAACGTATTTCACATTAGTCTATTGCAGGCCTTAACAAATCAAGGATTTCCCGTCACGTCTAATTACTGTTTGATTCCGGTGTAGGATGACTTATAGTTTAAGGTTCTTCTGCAGTTGGTTGCTGTGTCTTCTTGTTTGGAGCATCAGTGAGTAGTGACCATAACTAGTTCAATTTGATTTTACTGGTGAAAACACATTATTGATTATCTGATCATGTATAGGTTAGAGGGATATAAACAAGCGTTCATGATGCAGAAGAGGATATTGGATTTCTAGTTTCAAATGCTTTCTGTCCACTGAATTTATTCCATCCATTCCTCTCAGAGGTGACATCCCTTTGTATAGGCTTCAATATTAATAGCCCAAAAGTCCTTTGTTTCGATTTTGAAATACTTCATTTTCTTATAGTTGCACTATGATCATCAAGTGCTGCTTGATTACCTTATTTCCAAGGATCTTGGAATTAGTGGTGCAGAGTATCTGTTGAAGGAAATGCTACGGTTAGTTTATCTCAAACAAGGCAAAAGATCTTGACAGATGGTCCTGACTTCCACGCAGACCAATCTTCTGTGGCAACAATCATAGCCGTGTCTCCCTCTCTTAATGAAACAGTTAAGATGGATTCTGACAGTAGTTATAAGCAAAATGAAAGCTGAAGGCATGCGTTCATCAAGGCCAAAGAATGTATGCTACCTTTGAAAGTTTCTATAGAAAATCTTAACCATAAGAATCTGTTTCCGTGTAACTCTGAAGTTCTCCTAAAACGTTGCGTTATCCTCACTTCCTCTGTCTTCTTATTGAATTTTGGTGATAAATGAACCAAATGTGTGTGGAATATGAGATCATACTTCTCATTCCAGTAGCAACTTAAATTTACATTAAATTTTGGTTGGTTGGTTCATTTTTGTAGGTTGACAAAATGTGAGGAACTCTGCAGCAGTGACGATGACTTTTCCTAGGCCACTTGCTTAGAGAGAACGATATTTTCCGGTTGAAGGGAAGATCATTAAAATAGGATGCTGGCGTTCGACTCTATGTTTATGGAAGAAAGATCATATCTTTAGAACCATGTCTGACTGAGTGGCACTGGCCGCACTGTTGGACCTGACGTGTGTTCCTGTTGATAGTCAATAAAAGTTTCTGGTGGCCGATTGGACTCCACTGTTGACTATTTTCAAGTACCAGGAGCTAGTTCTGGTATTGAGATTCAAATTTTGACTAGCTTAGCTCTCTAAATTTGCCAGCTTTCTTAATTTGGTCGTCTTGAATTTCCATACTAATCGGCTTGTCTAGTCACTTCAAAGGTCCAACGTATTCGCAGATTAGGTAGAGTATTTCAAGTTGTGGTTATTACGCGTTGGGTCATTTTGGATAGAGTCTGAAAATCCCAAGGATTTGTTTTAACTGTACCGACGTTTGGCTTTATTAGTTGAAGTTTCTTAGTTTCAGCCCAAGGCAATCATCATAATCTGTGGGCAAGTTTGGTGTAAGCAGAGAAGAACCAGATGGAGGATAAGAAACAGAGTCGTCCTCATCACTTCGTGCTGGTCCATGGAGCTTTCCATGGAGCGTGGTGTTGGTACAAGGTTGTTCCTTTACTGGAAAAAGCTGGCTACAAAGTGACCACTCTCGACTTGGCCGCTTCTGGGATCCATCCAAAGCAGGCTACCGAGCTGGGTTCGATATTGGACTACCTCGCGCCTCTTATGGAGTTGATGGCTTCTTTAGCAGGAGAAGAAGAGAAGGTGATCTTAGTTGGACATAGTAACGGTGGTGTTGGGATATCTGTTGCAATGGAAAAGTTTGCAGAGAAAGTAGCTGTTGCGGTGTTTGTAGCGGCTATTATGCCAGCTCCTCATCCTGATGCCAGCTACTCTGTTTCGAAAGAAGAGGTACTTTTCCCTACTCTTTCTCGCTCTTTATTGGGCAAACTGGTTTTTGAGTTTCACATCGTAAAAGAGATTGGAATCAACGTGTTTTGGATTTGAGTATAAAGCTACAAATTTCTTCTTTTAGGTACAAAAAGTTGCAGACTTTTACTTTACCCATCATCTTTCTCTGAGCAACCCCTACCCCTTTGGTTGCCTTATCTCTGTTTTTCTATTTGACTCGACTGCAATTGATCAAACTTCAATTCCATGAAAAATTTGTATGCAGTATTTCAAGCGAATTGATTTCATGGATAGCCACTTCTCATACCAAGATGGTCCAGAAAATCCTCCGACCAGCGTATTGTTTGGACCCAAGGCGATGTCAACTAAATTGTACCAGCTCTCCCCACCTGAGGTAAAACCTTGAACACCCAGTCTTCAGTTTACATCCACCACTACATTAGACTGACCAGGAGTCACCTCATAACATCTTTATCGGTTAGCTTTAACAATGGTGAAAGTGAGGAGGAGCTTAAGTGGCAAGTTTGTTTAGCAATTTGAAAGGTGTAGATCTTACTGCCAAATATGAAATTGTGCCTGGAATCCCACCATTTTGTATGTGTTTTATTTGCTCTTCTAATGTAAACGGCTACCCTTCAGCTTTCTTCTAGTAAGCTGGGTTTTTTTCTGGTCCCCAAGATCAGGGCCGTCCCATAATATTTGGAGGCCCTGTTCGAAAATTTAAAATGTGGCCCTAATTTTTTTCCCATAAATTTATCAAAATTAAAAATTAATAAATAATTGTAAAAAAAATACTTAAGTTCAGAAAAAAGATTACATCAGGAATAAACGATCTCGTTTCCAGTTTGACCAAGAAACCAAGACCAAATTCCCAGCCCTACTAGGGAGGAAAGTAAATCTGGAAGGAAGATAAAATGGATATAGCGCAAAAATTGAATGGAGAAATGAAAAAATAGTCTAAATTGATCGAGAGGTGGGTGCAGGGTTGTCTACTAGATCGTGGAGGACCTATTTCAAAATCTAGACGTGGTCCAAATCGACCTTTAACTATAATAAAACTAAAATGATTATAATAACATTATTCAAAATGTAATATCTTTCTATATTGTTTAAATTAAAATTATCTATTATTTTTCAGATTTTCGTATTCTCCATAAGATCCTTTTCAATTGTTATTATAACTAAAATTATCTATTAAACACATCATTATACTCATAATCAATCAATCATACACTAAAAATACAACCTATAATATACGATCGGTAACTAACGAATCTAAGTAGAGGCCCCTAATATTCTGAGGCCCTGTGCCGGAGGGCGGACCAGCACACCCTCTTGGCCGGCCCTGCCCAAGATCAAAATGTTATGTTGGACCCAGTAATGGAAATTGCGAACGGTGTGTATATAGTATGAACAGTGTGTATATGTTATGTTGGACCCAGTAATTGCTGATGAATTGCAGGGATTAAGATGCTCTTATTACTGTCCTTTGGAGCAGGATTTGACGCTGGGAATGATGCTAATAAGACCGTTCCCTGTCTTCAAAGATGAGGAAGCAGAAGCTGAAATACCCCTGACAAGAGACAGATATGGATCGGTTCCTCGAGTTTATGTTATCTGTGAAGCCGATGAGATTGTCAAGCCAGATTTGCAGAGATGGATGATTGAGAACAATCCTACTGATGAGGTCAAATCCATATCTGGGGCTGATCACATGCCTATGTTCTCAAAACCACATGAGCTCTGCTCTTACCTTTTGGAGCTTGCCAGCAAGTTTGTTTGATGAATGAACTGATTGCCTCGGGTTTCCTGCCCATGGTAGCTAATCTGGGCGAGTTAGAGTGCTACTGAAGCGTTATTGTATGTAGTGGTAATCTTAATTACGTGCATTAATTATCCATATATTTTTTTTACAGAATTATCCATATTATTATAATTATATTGTCAATAAAAACGAATATAAATTATAAATTATTAGTTAGTATATATAAAGTGCAAGTATGCTCAAGGGGTATAGAAGGGTGTACCATAGGACCACCTAACACTTACCTTAAAAATTATAATGCACGTTTTTCTAACTATCGATTAAGCAAGTTTCCCCCTTCCAATAGGACCTACCTTAAATGGATTTTTTTTTCTTAAAAATTATAATGCACGTTTTTCTAACCGTCGATTAGGCAAGTTTCCCCCTTTCTCTAGGATTTATCTTTGGTGAGTTTTTTTTTTCTTCTCACGTATAAGTTTTTTTTTACTTTTTACCCCACGTTTTTCTAGCTGTCGATTAGGCAAGTTTCCCCCTTTCGTTAGGACTTACCTTAATTGAATTTTTTTCCTTCTCACGTGTGAGTTTTTTTTTCTTTTTAACCCACGTTTTTCCAACTGTTAATTAGGAAAGTTTCCTCTTTCACAAGGACTTATGTTAAATAGTTTTTTTTTCTCCCACATTTTTCTGCCATAGATTCGTGACTAATTAAATGTTATACTTTGTTGCAGGTTTTACATGTCATTAGTCAATTATCAGTGTATGGACTTTGCTATGACTAGAAGAAATAAGTTTATTGGTACCTCAAATGTTAAATACCGACAAAATCAATTTCAATATGAAATAGTTGGATATGTATAAGTATAACAACTTATACTCCCAAGCATACAAACTCGGTTAGGAGGGGCAAGTGTAGCACAACAAATCTTTTGGCGCAAAAGCAGCAAGGTAAACAAAGAGTTATATACCAAATACTAAATTTAATAACGTTATATTACAAACAATGATAAAGTTGTTTGAATTGAGCACGAGGTATTAAAAACTTCCTCTTTGTGTATATAAATACTGGGGTATTATGTTCAATTGACTAAACTTATACTTTCCTATTATTAAATAACTCATAATTCTCTAAATCTAAATTTAGTTTCACTTTAATCATTCATCAATACAACTAAACAATCCATTCTTCTAAAATATTTCTCTAAATCTAAATTTAGTTTCACTTTAATCATTCATTTAAATAATTCATTCTTCTAAAATATATCATCATAAACATAAAGATCAGTTAATAAGAATTAGTCATTTATTACAATCTATTGGGGGTGTTACTAAATACTCCGTTCACAGACTAAGTAGTAGGGCGCACAATCGGCGATGCGCAACGCTCGATACCCGCTACAGGTATATAAGGGCTTGAAGCCTTCCAAAGGAAGGGACTTCTCTCTACTCACTTTCCACTTTCCATTATCTCTCTACCTTGTTCTCTCAACTTTCGCCTTAAACATGAACTAACTTGATCGTCGGAGCTTAATCCGGGGGGCATCCCCGACTCTTTCACAGGTTTCTTCTCTCCCAACGAGATCAGACGAACGGATCGTGAGTCACCCCACTCCAACAAATATTATTGTTCATACCTCGAGCTAGATGGTACAAACAATTGGCGCCCACCGTGGGGCAGATTCATCGATTTTGTTCCACTGGTCTCTGAGGAAGGAAGATCGCAGTAGACGAGCCAAAAATCCAAAACGAAACAAAAAGTTATGTTCTGGGAACAAACATAAAGTTCGAGACCTGCCGACTTTTGGAAGGGAAACGACTCATTCTGCAAGCACCGTCAACGCCAGCAGACTTTCTCTTCTTTAGGTTTGCAACATGACAGCTTAGGCCAAACCTCTACACAAAGTTAGAAGTTCCGGCAAAAATAGATATTAAAAAAAAATGAAAATGAAGCACATCAGCCCAGATTCCGGCGAACCCACCCATCTCCGACGAAGAAGTTCCCACGAACGCCACACCACCAACCATTTTCCCAGATTCCGACCATCGGAGATTGATTTGGCGTCGGAGCTTTGAGAAGAAAGAAAATAAGCCGTGGTCGCAAGGAGTTGTCACATCCAACCGGTTCTCCAAAAAATGGTGTTGCTCTCTCTGCTTGTCAGAAGGAAAAGACAGGTGGAGTTCTCGAGACAAACAACGGGTTTATCGAGGCAACGTCTTGTAGTCCCGAAATGCGCCTTCCCCGACGAAGCTGCCCCTAAGCCTGCGAGCGGGAGGAAGAAATAAACTTGAAAAACTTCTACTCTACTTTCCACGAGCTCGGTTCTCTCGACTCTTCGGCCTTGCCTCAGCTTTCAACGGCCGCCCCAACATTCCCGCTGAAGTCACGGACGCCATGGCTTTTAATTGAATCACCCAGAGGCCTGCCGCCGCAGCCGGAATCCGCCATCCCTCACTCACGGCGTCACTCTGCCTCTCCGCTCCTTGCCTCAACTCAAATGGATAAATGAAAAGAATTCAGCGTTGCTTTTCTCGCCGGTCGCGTTGGCAGACGTCGTGATTTCAACTTCTGCGCCCAATCCAGCCTCTTCGCACCCTATCGCTACTGTCACCAACAACGACCTTTCCGCCTCCGTACTCTCCCTCATGCCGCATAATCACTTGAAACCTTTTCATCCTCATCATCAAGCATCACCATCGTTGCATCTCCATCGTTGTCTCTTTCTATGGGGCGACGATCCCAAACTACTGCACAACCCGGTCCACCACGGAAGAGCCTCACACGGCCGCTTTGCCCATCACTTGATTCCGGGAATTTCATCACCATGATACGCCGCTCCGCCGCCGTGTTCTCAAATCTGCAGCGCCATTGTCACCTCTAGCCCAGCTCCCTCCGCTAAACGCCAATGGTCGCGCGATCGAATCGTCCTCCGCCAAAGACCATCTTTCCGGCATTGCTCCCTTCCGCGAGCTCCACCTCAGTAGCGGGGAAAAACGACGAGTAGTAGTGCGCGGCTCCACTCATCGACTATGTTCACTCCTCGACTCCATTCACTCCGGTCATCACCACTATGCATGACGTCGCGCTCCCAGCTCCTCCGCGCGGGCGTCCATTGCGGACCCTCTGTTTTCCTCATTCTTCCCTATTTAAAAAAAAAACTATTCGCAGAAGAGGAAAGGAGCGGAAGCGCTCAATCCCCACCATAATGCGGCCTGGCCCACGTCCATATCATCCCACCAGCGCGCGGCCCGCTCTGCACCAAATCAGTTGGGCCTCCATCACCTCGGTCGTGTGCAACCACTCCGCGGCCCACGTCACAAACCCGCTTCACACTAGCCGGCCCTTGTCCGGCCCGCTCCGAGGCTGATTGGGCCCGCCCGATCAGTCGCGGCTCTCGCCCCGCTTGAACTCATCCGGCCCATTCTCTCTCCACGCGGCCGCCTTCAACCTCCGCTCGAGTGCCTCATGGGCCCACACACCTTAGCTCGCAACCCGCTCCGTTCCGGCTCCCCAGTCCCGCCAAGCCCACAGGCACTGAGCTCATTAAAAATAATATCATCACCGCCAGAGCTTGAACCCCGCGCCGTTTCGCCAACATAAAGCTAAGTACTCCATCCCTCTATCATTATTAAATATTGAAATATTTTACTTTCATGAGCGTTAATGGCGCTAATGGGGGCAAGACGTGCCCAACGACGTGGAAGATGAGAAACTCACCAAGCGACATATGATCACGACCCACGCCTCGATAAAAAAACGCCATGAAGAATCTACAATGGGTGAAAGCTAATAATCACGGCCTGTTCCTCGACTATTCAATGACATGCCCTCACCAAGCGTTCGACGCCTTGAAGACTCCAAACTGAGGGTTAAAAACTCCGACGAGGAGAACTCCAAACTGAGGGTTAAAAAACCCCGACGAGGAGAGGGCACATTGCCTTGAAGACTCCAAACTGAGGGTTTAAAACCCTGACGAGGAGAACTCCAAACTGAGGGTTAAAAAACTCCGACGAGGAAAGGGCACATTGCCTTGAAGACTCCAAACTGAAGGTTAAAAACTCCGATGAGGAGAGCTCCAAACTGAGGGTTAAAAACCCCGACGAGGAGAACTCCAAATTGAGGGTTAAAAAACGCCGACGAGCAGAGGGCACATTGCCTTGAAGACTCCAAACTGAGGGTTAAAAAACCCTGATGAGGAGAGGGCACATTGCCTTGAAGACTCCAAACTGGAGGGTAAAAAAACCCCGATGAGGAGAGCTCCAAACCGAGGGGTAAAAACCCCGACGAGGAGAACTCCAAACTGAGGGTTAAAAAACCCCTATGAGGAGAGCTCCAAACCGAGGGTTAAAAACCCCGACGAGGAGAACTCCAAACTGAGGGTTAAAAAACCCCGACGATGAGAGCTCCATGAAGAATCTAAAATGGGTGAAGGCTACACGCCTTAATGAAATACACCAACTGGGGGGCAAGACGCAAGAAGCTGGCACCGCGTCAGCCAAACGCGCCACCAGCTGGGGGGCAACTGGCGTACGTAGGCTCCATCCAAAATGATCGATGAAGATTTAAAAAATAAATAATAAGCTAGTGATGAGTTATATCTCACCACCAACTTGGAGGGCAATTTGGGTGGGTTACTAAATACTCCATTCACAGACTAAGTAGTAGGGCGCACAATCGGCGATGCGCAACGCTCGATACCCGCTACAAGTATATAAGGGCTTGAAGCCCTCCAAAGGAAGGGACTTCTTCTCTCTCCTCACTTTCAACTTTCCATTATCTCTCTACCTTGTTCTCTCAACTTTCGCCTTAAACATGAACTAACTTGATCGTCGAAGTTTAATCCGGGGGCATCCCCGACTCTTTCCCAGGTTTTTTCTCTCCCGACGAGATCAGATGAACGGATCGTGAGTCAACCCCACTCCAACAAATATTATTGTTCATACCTCGAGCTAGATGGTACAAACACAATCATATATACAGAACTTATACTTCAATAATCTTAAATCACTCATAATTCTCTAAATCTCAATTTAATTTAACTATAATTACTCATCAATACAACTAAGCAATTCATTCTTCTAAGATAGATCATACACACAAGTCAATAAGAATTAGTCATTTCTTACAACCATATAGTTAATTATACATTTGGTTATTAATGATGAACCGTGTCCTTCATTTATTTGAGAGGGCTTTGAGGCTCAGTGGGTTAAGGGAAGATTTATTGTATAATGTTAAATTTTTTGGGAATGCTCGATATCTTGGTATATATCAATTCCAATTGCACATCTAGAATATTGAATACTACTTAAAAAATCAATGTCAAATAATGATAAATTTTGTGTGGTATTTGATGGATCCCAAACAGTTAAACCAAACTTCCACCCGAACAATATTTTAGATATGGCAATCCTTGGGTGTTGGTCACTAACTTTCCAAGTAACGATTAATTACTAATCAACTTAAATCGCTACTCTTTAAATAGGAATAAAACTAATATGTACATGGACATGGTTACATCGAATAACTAAGTATTCTCATCCCTTAATGAGATTTAATATGCCCAATAACTTTTGATTACCCCTAACCAACCACGGTCCAAATAAAAACACTACTAATGAATTAAAGTAGCTAAATTAGCCTGACCACTATTCACACGACCTCACACAAGAACTCCATGTTATACTTCATTAGTAGGCTTTGTTCTGGCCAAATCAATTATGGTATATTCGTTGTCTAAGTTTTAAGGTCGTTACATATAGAAATTTACACACACAATGATTTACCAACTACCTGTATGTTAAGTATCTTTTAAAAAAAAAACTATTTGTTAAGTATGATTAGATTTGTTCCAATCGAGATTGGATGACCATCATTACTTGATTTCGTTATGATAGATTTTGTAGTGTGTGTCCAAAAATTTGAAAAAAATTATTCAATAAAAATCTATATTCGTATCCCAAAGGTTAACGATTATTGAAAAGCTTATTTCATGTTCTAATATCACCAACCTTCGTTTAAATTAAAGTGTTTTCAATTTGAATTGACATATACATTTTTAGATAAACCGCAGCGAAAAATGGGCCAATTATCTAGTCTATATTATTAGAAACATATGCAAAATACATCATTTTATTTTTTTGGTGCATACCGAATTTTAACAGTTGCGAAAGTGACGAGGAGTTTAATTGACAATTTGTTAATACGCGACACAAGGAGGTCTACAATTCTGATGAATTGCAAGGATTAAGATAGTCTTATATTTCTATCCTTTGGAGCAGGATTTGACGCTGGAAAATGGGAATGATGCTAGTGAGACCCTGCCCTGTCTTCAAAGACGAGGAAACAGAAGCTGAAATACCCCTGATGATAAGAGAGAAATATGGATCGGTTCCTCGAGTTTATGTTATCTGTGAAGATGATGAGATTATCAAGCCAGATTTGCAGACGTGGATGATTGAAAACAATCCTACTGATGTAGTCAAATCCATATCTGGTGCTGATCATATGACTATGTTCTCAAAGCCACATGAGCTCTGCACTTACCCTTTTGGAGCTTGCCAGCAAGTATATGTATTTGATGAATGAACCGATTGCCTCGGCTTTCCTGCCCATGGTATAAGTTCATCTGGCCAAGTTACAGTGCTACTGAAGTGTTCTTTGTATGTAGTAGTGGGAATCCCAGCAGCAAAAGGCCGAACCTATCCCCCGCCACCAATAACAACGAGCCGACGGCGAGTGCTTCACTCAAATCGCAACCCTTATAACTCTCCCGCCCGCCGGCGGATGCACAGCTGCTTATTGTTGTTGGCTGTCAATATCTCTAATTGCAGCCGTCGTCTTTGTCTTAACACCGGTTCAGCAGCCGGCCATGGCAAGGAAGATTATCCTCAACAACTGCACCATCCATCGAAACAACTGCTCTCGATTTCATTGGCGAAGGAAAGCCGGTATGACTGAATCCCCTTATTCTTCTTCTTCAACTTCTGCTTCTGCTTCTTCCGCAGCTCCTCTCTCGTCTTACTTCGCCTCCAATCGAACTAGCCCTCGTACCTCCAATTCTGCCAGTTTCGCCAGCGTAGACGATGCACTGGATTCATTTAACCGGATGCTCCACATGAATCCCAGGCCTTCAATTCTGCAATTTAACCGGTTAGTGTCTTCTCTTCTCAGAATGAATGCCTTCCAGGCTGCCTCGGATGTGTTTAAACAAATGGAATTAGCTGGACTTCCCCTTAGTATTTACTCGGTTAACATGCTGATTGATTGCTTCTGCAAATTGGGTAGTGTGGGTTTTGGCTTCTCAGTTTTGAGCAAAACTTTCAAACTTGGCTTTCAACCTGATGTTGTCACGTTCAGTACATTGATGGATGGGCTATGTAAAGTTGGAAAAGTCGTTGAGGCTGTGAGGTTGGCTGATAAAATCAGGATTCTGGGGTGTCCACTGAATGTGGTCACTTACAACACAATCATCTGGGGACTGTGTAGGGCAGGACAGACAAGTATTGGACTTGAATTGCTCGGAAAAATGGAAGAGTTTGGGTGTGAACCTGATGTGGTTAGTTATAGCACAGTCATCGATAGCCTCTGTAAGGATGGAATGGTATCGAAAGCTTTGGACATGTTTCTCGAGATGAAGGATAAGGATATTTTGCCAAATGTTGTTTCTTACAATTGCTTGATTTCTGGTTTATGTATCTCAAGCCAAAGGAATGAAGTTATGAAGTTGTTGAATGAAATGATGGCAAATAAGATCATGCCTAACGTAGCTACCTTCAACCTGATGATTAATGCTTACTGTAAGAAGGGAGATGTTCTGGAGGCTAAAGCTATTGTCAAAATGATGATTGAAAGAGGGCTGTTGCCAGATGTCATCACTTACAATTCGTTGATGGATGGGTATTGTTTGCGCAACGAATTAGACAAAGTTGAACAGTTATTTGATTTCATGGTGAACATGAGATGCAAACCTGACGTTTATAGTTATAGTGTTATGATTCATGGATATTGTAATGCTCAGAGGATGGATAAGGCTGAAAGAATTAGTTAACGATATGCTTGAGTGGGATTTGAATCCAAATACAGTTATATATAATACTCTCATTACGGGATTTTTCCGAGCATAGAGACTGAAAGATGCACACAGGCTTCTCAAAAAAATGCACAGTCAAGGTTTCTCCCCAACTATCGTGACATATGGAAGTTTGTTACATGATTCGTGTAGGCGAGGTGATGTTGACGCCGCACTGGCTCTATTTCAAGCAATGGAAAATAGCCGGTTGAAGCCTAATGTTGTTTTGTATACCACTCTTATCGATGGGTTGTGGAAAGCAGGGAGGGCTCAGGAAGCAAAGGACATGTTCTCGAGGCTATCGAAAGACAATTCCTTACGACCTAGTACCCATACTTATAGCGTAACAATTGGTGGGCTTTGTAGACAAGGTTTGGTAGATGAAGCATATGATCTGTTCCGAAAAATGGAACTGGATGGTTGTCTACCAGATAGTTTCTGTTATAACAGAATTATTCATGGATTTCTTCATCACAAGGACCCACTTGAAGCAGTGGCCCTTATTCAGGAGATGGTCTCTAAAGGTTTCTCAGCTGACACAACCACAATGTCCTTGCTTATACAAGTATTGCCCAAAAATCAGTTGAAACATCCGCTTGTCCAAAAGCTGCTGAATGGTCCAGATATCAACATTCAGGAAATAGAATCTTAACTGTCTATCAGCTGCTGCAACTCAAGGTGCTTGTCTTAATGTAAAAAGTTGAGACCTTTCTGTGCAACATTGTCGAAGACGTTTTTTTCTTGTGGTAGCCAAATAGCAAATGCCTTGAATGTAATTATGGGTCGTCTTAGATTTTACTAATGAAGCAAAATTGCCCTTAAGTTGAGCATATGTTGAATACTTCCTTTGTGTCTGTTTATGGTAATCTCTGGAGTTCTGAACTGCCACAGTAAGGTTGAACTTAGAAGAGGAATATGAGATTCTGTTTTTCAAATGCAAGGAGGAAACTGAAACATGCGTAGTCACTGGCTCTGTTGACTTCCTTCTGAAATGGAGAGACAACTGAACTGCGAACAATTGTAGGCAAAATATGTCTTAATCTGTTGCTTTGCTTTTCTATCGCCCTTCCCTTTTGTAGGTGTTTAAGGGCTTCCTGCAGTTGCATGCCATTTAGTCAGAGAGTTCTCTGTTGAAGGAAATGCTACGGATAGTTTACCTCAAAAAAGGCACAAAATCTTGGCAGATGGTTCTGCATTCCAGGCAGACCAATCCTCTGTGGCAACAATCATATCTGTGTGTCCCTCTCTTAAAGATATAGTTAAGATAGATTCTGACAGTAGTTTTGTTCAAAAAGAGATTCTGACAGTAATTATATGCAAAATGATAGCAGAAGGCATGCGTTCATCGGGGCCAAAAAATGTCTGCTATCTTTGAAAGTTTCTATAGAAAATCTTCACTAGAATATAATCTTAAAGTTCTCCTACAATGGTGTGTTATCCTCACTTCTTCTGCCTTCTTATTGAACTATAGTGATCAATGAACCAAAAGTGTGTGAAATATGAGATCATATTTCTCAATCAGTAGCAACTTAAATTCATTGTATCAGTTTCCGATTACATGAAATTTTGGTTGGTTGGTTGGTTCATTTTTGTAGGTTGACAAAATTTGAGGAACTCTGCTGCAGTGACGATGACTTTTCCTAGGCTACTTCCTTAGAGAGAACCATCTTTTCTATTTGAAGGGAAGATCACTAAAATAGCATGCTGGGTGTTCAACTCAATATTCCAAGGTGTGGCTCCAAGTAACCTATGTTTACGGAAGAAAGATCAAATCTTTCAAACAAACTCTAACTGAATCGGACAGGTCGGACTGTTGGACCTGACGGGTGTTCCTGTTGATAGTCAATAGAATTTTCTGGTTGCCGAGGACCAGGAGCTAGTTCTGGTAGGTTCCGGATTTCACTAGCTTAGCTCTCGAAAGATCCCAAGGATCTGTTTGACAGGACAGACGTTTGGCTTTATTAGTTGAAGCTTCATAATTTTGAGGGCAAGTTGGGAGTAAGCAGAGAATACCCAGATGGAGGACAAGAAACAGAGTCGTCTTCATCACTTCGTGCTGGTCCATGGAGCTTGCCATGCAGCGTGGTGTTGGTACAAAGTTGTTCCTTTACTGGAACAAGCTGGCTACAAAGTAACAGCTCTCGACTTGGCCGCTTCTGGGATCCATCCAAAGCAGGCTACTGAGCTGGGTTCGGTCTCGGACTACCTCGTGCCCCTTATGGAGTTGATGGCTTCCTTAACAGGAGGAGGAAAAGAAGAGAAGGTGACTTAGTTGGACATAGTATGGGTGGTGTAGGGATATCTGTTGCAATGGAAAAGTTTGCAGAGAAAGTAGCTGTTGCGGTGTTTGTAACGGCTTTTATGCCAGCTCCTCATCCTGGTGTCGGCTACTCTCTTCCAAGAGAAGAGGTACTTTTCGCTTCTCCTTCTCGTTCTTCATTCGGTAAGCTGGTTTTAGAGTTGCAGACATTCAGTTTACCCATCATAAATTCTACGGAAAATTTGTATGCAGTGTTTCAAGCGACGAGATTTCATGGATATCGAATTCTCTCGTTCCATGATGGTCCCGAAAATCCTCCGACCAGCATGTTGTTTGGACCCAAGGCGATGGCAACTAAATTGTACCAGCTCTCCCCACCTGAGGTAAAACCCTGAACACCCAGCCTTCAGTTTACATCCATCACTCGGTTAGACTGACCAGGAGTCACCTCAGAGCATCTTTATCGGTGAACTTTAACAATTGCGTAAGTGACGAGGAGGTTAAGTGACAATTTTGTTAATACGCGACACAAGCAGTTTGACATTTAAATTGTTGATGAAGTGTGAGGACTAAGATGGTCTTATTACTGTCTTTTGAAGCAGGATTTGACACTGGGAATGATGCTAGTAAGACCCTGCCCTCTCTTCAAAGATGGTCTTATTACTGTCGTTTGGAGCAGGATTTGAAACTGGAATAATTCTGATTCTCAAATGTTAACATTAACTGATAGCATTGAACAACCCGATGCCCTTTTCAAAGGCGACAATAACCCCAGAATTAGAAATGATGATTGTTATCATCTACACATTACTACGTTGCGCTCACATTTCGTCGAGCAGTTAATATGGGCTACATTTGGTTGATCACTCGGCTGAACCACCTTCTTTCTGAAGCTGAGCATCACAACTCTGCCAATCTTCATCAGCAACTTCCAGCAGGCACTGATAGAGCACCTTTGGCTTTGACAGCATAGCCATGTGGTCAGCTCCTTCAATGTACTTCACCTCATCTGGTGGGTAGCTCTTAATGATCCTTTCCTGGAATTCCTGCTTCGTCAGGACATCATCTTTGCACACAATGTATACCCTTTTCACAGAACCATATTGAGCCTCACTCAGCAGGGATTCCTTGGACATGTCTCCCAGGAAGAACTTGAATGGCCGAATCATCAGCTTGGCCAGCTCCAGATCCTGCAAACACACCAAGTATTAGCACATTTTGATTATAGTTTCTTTATAGAACAACATTGATTACAGAACATTATTAGTGGAAGCTAGAGGAACTTGCCTCTGGCTGGCAGTTTGTGTACATCAAAGTTTCCAGGTAAACTGGCCCGAAAAGTGCTGATATCGGAAGCCTTTCCTGTTCTTTGTCAAATTCTACTTCACATAGTGCAAAGACCTCCTCTGGTGTCTTCTCCAGGATCTGTTTTACCGTACAACATTAGTAGCAGCAACAGTACCAATGAAATAACCACCATTTACATGGTAGAGTCGAAACAAATATGAAGTTTCGAGACATCACGTTTGCGCTACTGAGCTTTACCAAGGATGTGACTACTTTTACAGCGTCAATTTTTCAATATTCGCGTAGAAAGAGGTCTCGTAATATCGAACTCGAGGCTCTGTTAAAACTGAAGAGTAAAAGGGAAAAGTATTTCTGATAGTTCACTGTAAGGATTTTTTTTTTTTTTTTTTTTGGTTACCTCTATCATGAGAATGGCAGGAGGCTCGACGAGATTAGGCATTTCAGCAGTCACAAAAACAGCCACCAACACTTTCTCAGGGAACCTCTCCATCACCATAGATATAACATAGCCACCAAAGCTGTGACCCACCAGAATCACCTTGCCATCATCATCATCTTCAGGCAGGGAGGCCATGAACTCCATCAACGGCCGAGCATAATCCGAGATTGTGATGATCTCGTCCAGCCGATTCGGATTAGCCCCGGATGCTCCGAGATCGAGAGCAGTAACTCTGTGACCACTGGATTTCAGGAGCGGGATCAGCTTGTACCAGCACCATGCTCCATGTGCTGCTCCATGAACCAATACAAAGTGCTTCTTTTCCCCTTCCATAAAGTTGGTTCTGTTTTATTTTTCGTTTTGGGTACTAATTGGGTTGTTGGTTGGGTTTTTATATTGGCGCCAGAATGTGGCTTGGAAAGGTTGAAGTGAACGAGGAGAAAGCATTTGTGGGCTTCTGGGGAGTTTCCACCATTTTCATTGGAAGTGTCATCTAGTGGGTGAGTAGTGACAAGCAAAATTGGTTACAGGGTGAATCTGCATTTTTGGGCTTTGGTTTAACCGTCTGTTGGTCGTATACTCTAGTCGGTTTTGTGCAGTTTCCCATTCACAGCTAATTTCAATTGGTTCATATGATGTTGTTATGTATCTAGTTTCAGCATGTCATGTTCAAAGGAAAGGCGTTCTGTTTGTATACCATTGCATGTATTTGAGATGCCTTATATTGGGGAGGCTGCTTGGTGTTTTGCTTTTCATTTAATCATAATACTAAGATATGCTTGCTCGCTTGCGCTTCGCGGTGAGTGGAGGATAGTAATGTAATTGTATCGTATGAAAAAATTAATAAAATATAATTCATACGACATAATTCCAAAGAACAGTAAGAAAGAGCACTAAGATGTCGTGGGAGAAAATTCGTACTAATATGCACTCGCTGGCCAATAAAGTTACAAATTACCGGATGACAACTTACATATTTGAAACTCAACAATTGTTAATTATAAAATTTACGAAGTTTCTGCATATGAAATAGAAAATAAAAAAGAGAAACAATGAATAATTTAGCATTTGGTTTCTTTGGTTCCGAAGCCACTTTCACCATTTAAATGGAGATCGAGAAAGAGATGAGTAGAGTGCGAAACCAAATACGAACAAAAATGTCAATGGATAAGTCACAAAGATTGTCAATCGATAAGGATTAAAAATGGACAATACATCGCTGAAATACACGTAATTGAAATATGCGTTGTCAGCCAACCTCAAGTTGAATAGTCGAAAAACTCATAAAGATTGTTAATCTATAAGGACTCAATAAATGAAAAATGCATCGCCGATATACACACAATCTAAATACGTGTGATTGGTCGCTTCTAGTAGAATAGTTGTAGAACTTATAAAAAAATATCAATCAATAATTAAGAATTCAAAAATAAACATAACTCCACAATATGCATTAAATACCAACAATAGCAAAAACAAATGGATAAAATAAAAGAAATAAAAAAATAACTAAAAGATTTCTCTGTGTGATTAAAAGAAATAAAATAAAAAAATGAGATAAATATGTGTCACCTTGCAAATAAAGGTAAATGATGAAAGAAATAAAAAGAAATGCAAAATATATGGATAATATCCTAAAGTTGATGAAAATTACAATAGAACCTCTTAATGTCGTGGAAGAGAATTCGTACTAATATGCACTCGTTGGCCAATAAAGTAACAAATTAGCGGATGGAAATTTACATATTTGGAACTCAACAATTGTCAATTAGTGAATTTACGAAGTTTCTGCATTTGAAATGGAAAATAAGAAAGAGGAATAAAAAACGGAATAAGAGTGCAAAACCAAAAACGAACAAAAACGTCAATTTCAACACAACAACAAAAAGCACGTTTCAAGAATGGTAAAAGTCACAAAGATTGTCAATCAATAAAGATTAAAAATGGACAAAACATTGTTGAAATACATGAGATTGAAATACGCGTGATCAACCAACCTCTAGTTGAATAGTCGAAAAACTCATAATGATTGTTGATATATAAGAGCTCAAAAAAAAAAAAAATGTATCATCGATATACACGCGATATTAATACATTGTGATCGGTCGGGTCCACACATGACTCACCAATAGTCTAGAGAATTTAAAATTGAACCATGAACCACTAACTTTTCACCTCAATGTCAAGTCCAATTAAAAATAAAGATATATGGTTATTACTTATTAGAAAGTCGTCATTTTCTACTATGGAATTTGAAGGCGTGGAATTTTAAGCGAACAAAAAGGTCAATTTCAACACAACAACAAAAAGCACGTTTAAAGAATGGTAAAAGTCACAAAGATTGTCAATCGATAAGGATTAAAAATGGAAAAAAAATTGTTGAAATACATGAGATTGAAATACCCGTGATCAACCAACCTCTAGTTGAATAGTCGAAAAACTCATAATGATTGTTGATATATAAGAGCTCGAAAAATAAAAAATGTATTGTCGATATACACGCGATATGAATATGTTGTGATCGGTCGCTTCTAGTTGAATAGTCGGAGAACTTGTAAAAAATAACAATAATCAAGCATTCGAAAATGAACCATGTACAATAGCAAATACAAAAGGATAAAATAAAAGAAATAAAAAAATTACTAAAAGATTTACATGTGTTATTAGAAGAAATAAAAAAAGAGAAATGAGACAAAATATGTGTCACCTTGCAAATGAAGGTAAAGGATGAAAGAAATAAAAAAAAATGCAAAATTGGATGAAAGAAATAAAAAGAAATGCAAACTTATGCAAAATATATGACCTCATAAGGTAACACCCCTAAAGTTGATGAAAATTACAATAAAACCTCTTAATGAATAGTAACACTAAAACTATATTTTAATAATAAAATAAAATAATTATTTTAACTAATTAATGTGTCAGACACTTGAATTTTGATGATATCTCGACTAGACATCTCATGTGTCCGTTCATGAAAAATGTATATGTATATATAATTCCGTTAAAAATAGTGAAACTCTTAACATTTGTCAAACAACATCAAAAGTTTGATAATCTTGTTTCTTATAAAACTTGGAGCACATAAGGTAAACCACCTGCCGACGGAATCTTTTCTCTATAACAAAAAGCAAATCGATCTCCAGCTCATTTTTTCATTAGTTTCATTCTGAAACTCATAGTCTGCAAGTGCTTGCAAATGCTTTGAATAATACGATTGTACAATTGGGTTCATTTTCAGAATATAATTTATGGATTGTGGATATACTTCTAGAATGATTAAACAAAATCGGAAAGTTATATACAGTTCTACACGGTACTCTATGCACCGCCGAAGGCTAAAGAACTAAGAGCAGAGAAACCCTTAGGAGGCCTTAGGAGGCAGAGTCCAAGTTGATATTTACATTTCTTTTTCACAGAAACAGGTTGCAATAGTTGCTGCACTGGTTCATATTTGGTTCAGGCTTTAATCATGAGCTTGTACCTTCAGCTGCAGTAAGAAACTTCTCTTTCTTCAGCAGCCACACTTTCTTTGAACATTTGAAATCAGCTGAGCATGGTTGGATGCCCAGTCTGCAGCATCCTCTTGATCATGTCCATCCCAAAAGCCGAATCTGATGAACTGTGTAATTACAGGACACGAGCGACTCAGAATGGTCAACAAGAACGGTGTTCTAGAGGAGCCTAAAATTAGAATTGAAAGCAAAATCTCGACGCTATGTTGCTCTTTGTAATGCTGGACATGAAGGAAACTTGGAAAACTAATCAGGGTTCTATTCAACAGTGGATATCAGGCTCAGCTAAGATTTTCATCACAAGGCTGCACAAATCATTAACATAAATCACAAGGATGGGAGAGAGAACACACCTTGGAATAGTAATTTCATAAGGGAAATAAACGACACCATCAGATATAGGAGGCACATGATCCTTCTTCTCATTCACAAATTTTATTATCTGGAACAAAACCTCACGAAGAGAAGATTCAAGTGCTGCCCTGCGATTGCTCCTCTCCTCCAACGAATTTTCTGCACTTAACATAACAACAACAAAAGTTTTTTGGTCACAAACAGGATTAAGAGTTAACAACCTTTAGAAGCAATGAATCATAAGATACGAGTCAATGGTACTACCTCCAGGATCCACCACTATCTTTGAAGGATGAGACTTCCCAGAGTGAACTTTTTGTTGCTGGCTCACATTCAAATTGATATACCATTGTTCCCAATAAAGCCGTTCAGTTTTGTTAGTGAACCATGAAGGATGCTTGTTTTTCACCTCATAAAAGGATATGCAGACCTGGATCATTCAATAAAGGGGTCAACAACCAAAAGAATGGGATACCATTGGTACTATCATACTGGGGTGATAAAAGCAGTAAACATAATATGATGATAAAGTACTACTCAGAGAAACAGATAAAATGGTCAGCTGGAGAACTGTATGCATAGTTGTACTATACAGCATTGTTTAACCGAAGGCAGTTGACACATATATGACTTGGTGCGGTAAACAACAATAACATATTTGACATGGACATATATGCAAACCCTACACATCCACCTTTGCTTTGCAGCATATACAGAAAAGAACATATTACATAGAATCATAAACAGGTAAGGGGAATAGGCAGCTACTGAAGCAGTACATTATATCACTCATTCTAGTATAATATATATACCTGGCTCTTCTTATTTGGGTGTTTCTCTACCCAGCTAATGAACTGCTCAATCTTCTCGTCAATTTTCTTTTCAAGTTCACCGTCCCCACATTGCACCTGCGAAACAAGAAGGGCGGGCAATGTCATCGCCAGCATACAAATAGATGATGCCAGAAGTCATCAAAGGCATGATGAGCTTCAGGTACAAAGCATGTAAGCCAGCTTTTGGAGGACACCCATTACTTACATATGTAATGTCAAAGAGCTCTAAATCAATGACTTTGGGACGGACGAGCCCTAAAGCTCGATGGAACACAATCGTATGCAATATGCCTGCAAAGCCCAAGATCACATGCGCACAAATTGACCAACTTTAAACTGAATTGTCAATTAAATCGCACAAACTGAGAGCACACAAATCTCAGGTGCTAGAATTCTACTCTCATGAGTCCACCAAGTGGGAAGAACTTACAGCGGAGAACTTCCCGTATCTCGAAGTGCTCCACTTCCTGCAGGTTGAACAACGCAAGTTCCGTAAATCGAAAATCAACAAACTGGAAACGTAGAAATCTCTAAAATTCAGTACGAAAGGCTCAAGTGATCGACGGTCGAAGAAATCCAGAAGTTACCAGCTCTTTGAGTTGGCAGACTTCGCAGTTCATGATTCCTCGCGGTTGGACAAAAAATTGAATCGCAATCGGAGTTGCGGAAAGCAAACGAATCTCAAATATTTCCCGCTCCTGAAATCTCTCACCCGAAAAGTTCAAATCAGGAAAATCTCGGAGCTCCAAAAATGGCGGAGTTGAGTTGGGCAGAAGGAATGCGATGGCTCTCTCTCTCTCTCTGACGAGCTCTGGCGTGTCCGTGTCGTACTGATCTTCGATTTAGAAAAGGAAACCCATTCAGCTGGGAACCGGTTTCCAATTTCCATTCAGCAAAGTTGCATATGGCAATTACCCACCCATGGGTAATTTTACCCAAATCCAAATAAATCCATTTAGTATGGGTAGGGTTTGGATGAAGTGTATATGGGTTTGGGGGTTTGTAGATGGGTTTAGGTTAGGTATGGATATTTCTTTCATAATGCAAATGGGTATGGGTTGGATATGGATATCCATTTACTTGAGAGTGTTTTAACTACACACACAAAAATTGAACCTATTTGTAAAACTTGAAAAGTTTAGGTACCAAAATGTAAGACCAAAAAAATTTAGGTACCAAAACGTAATTTTCCATCGATATTTTGAGGACTTATATGCAAAAAAAATTAAATTTAGGTACTAAATCTGCATATCTATTAAATTTAGGTACCAAACTGTAGTTTGCCATTGGGCATGGGTACAAACCCAAATCCATGTGTTAAAAACCCAACCCAACCCAAGTAAATGGGTATGGGTACAAATCCATCAAACTCTACCCATCTACCATTTATTTGGAATCCATACCCAACCCAATTGGGTTGGATAGTAAAATAGACATGGGTATGGGCAAAATTGCCATCCCTAGTTGCAACCCGAGATGACGTTTTCGACTGCAAATCCAAAATCGCCGTTCGGCCCAGCCCGTTCGAATTTGTTAGCCCCAACTTATCAGGCCAAGGCACAGGCCTAGGATGGCAATGGGTTGGGTTGGGGGGGGGGGGGTTGTCAAACCCAAATCCATAGGTTTATCCGCCAAAAAAACCCGGGATAAAACCCGCTGGGTTTGAAAAACTCAAACCCAACCCAACCCGTTGGGTATCCGCGGGTTCATGGGTACCCGTGGGTTTTTGTGGTAAAAAATTTACAATAACAAGTTTCTTTCAAAATAAAAGTTTAACATCAATTTTCTCATACAAATTATTCATACAAAAAACACCAATATAGAGCATACAAGCAAACCGCAAATGATCAATACAAATTGTTCAAAATTAAAGATAAACATCTATAAACAATAATATTAATTGAAAGCTTCTTCCTCGTCAACTAAGTTTCTTCACTCTCCAGTTCATAATATCAACTTCATTCTAAACAATTAGAAAGAACAAATTATACATGTCTCCACAAACATAAAGAATATTAGTTGTTTAAGGAAATATTATTTAGAATATTAAATATACGGGGAAAGTAATTATATGTGTGTGGGCGGGTACCCATGGGGCGGGTTTACCTAAACCCAAACCCAACCCGACCCGGTGAATAGTGTTACGGGTTTAAACCCGAACCCGACCCAAAACCCGTCAACACGGGTTTTACCCGTGTTGACCGGGTTGGGTCGGATGGGTACCCGTGGATTCGGGTTTTGTTGCCATCCCTACACAGGCCCGCTTCAAAACGAAGTCCGGCAGCGGGGAGAACACAGGGACCTCTTTGGCTTGGCGCAATTCGTATTTGTTTTCTTATCCTTGTTCTTTACTAGCTTGTTGTCCGATCCGTTGGTCGTAATGTCATTTGAATACAATTTATTTATGATGTGCATTTAAATTCTTTAAATTATTTAAAATATTGAATTTGGTATGACATTAACGTGACATCAAAATTATTTTTTCATTTTCGAAATTTTTATAACTTTCCATCACTGATGAATATTGTAATCTTAATGGTTATAACCAAAGTTGTCAAACCGGTTTAAGTCGTTGAGCCGGTCAAACAAGTTATTTGAAGTTTAATAGTTTGATTAAAGTCGAACATGTTTGAGCCGTTTTACACAATTACTAAACATATTTGCATATAATATAGATATTCTCCCAAATTTTCGGCCGCTAGGTTTCGATCAAGCGTGCCGGTCGCGCCGGCATCTGCGCCGGTGTGTGAGTGATGTTGGTTTTCTGCAATGGCTTCTTCTTCTTCATCGCCGCCGGACACGAATTCTTCTCAGGGAGTCCCGGTGAAGCCCTGGGCGGACCTGTTCGGCATCTCGGAGGCGAATCGACTATGCTATGTCAAGCCTGAGGTCTACAAAGGGGGGCTTCGTATGCCCACAACGGTCATCGACGAGGGTGCGGCTCGCTGGAGGAACAGCCTGGTAGGACAATTTCTTCATGAGGCTCCATCGCTTCCTGTGCTACGGAGGTGGGCAAATAAGATCTAGGGAAGGGATGGGATGGTTCGAGTTTCGCTTCTGGGGGATAAGCTGCTCCTGATACAGCTGCCTACCCAGGCCACCTGTGATTGGATACTGGAGAGCTGGTTCTACTTCGACAATCTGCTATACTTGCGTCCATGGAAGCCGGGGATTAATGTAGAGGATCTGGGAAGGAAGGCTTTGTCTATCTGGATAAGGTTCACTAACACTCCTCTTGAGTATGTTAATTTTCAAGGGTTAAGTCGAATGGGGAGTTGGTTGGGTGTACCTCTTGGTGTCGACCAGACTACTCGCCTAGGTGGATGTTTAGGGGTAGCAAAGGTCTTAGTGGAACTGCGTGCTTCTGGGGACTTTCCTGATCACGTCCTAGTCTGGCCTGATGATGATACTTCGATAAGGGTGGGAGTGGAATACAGTTTTCTTCCCCCTGTTTGTCAGGGGTGTTGTTCATTTGGGCTGGATTGTGGTTGTGCTAATAAGCAGGGTGAGAAAGTATGGGCGAGGAAGGATAACAGGGTGTAGGATAGGATTGAAGTGGTGGAAAGCAAATAAGGGGGAGTATCTTTAGTTAGTCCAGTTGACAAGGTGGGGAATGAGGCTGATGAACACAATAAGGGTAAAGAGAAGGTGATAGACCAAGTGGTAACTCCGATTAATACCTCTGTGGTGGTTGGTTCAAATCTGATCCAGTGTACTAATCTGGATACTCAGTTTCAGGAGGCTGCTCTATCTCCTCTTCTCCCTTCAGAAGATGATTTTCAGCTTGTGGTGAATGGAAGTAAACATCAAGTTTGGTCTCCTAGTCCCAGCCCTAAGAGTGTATTGAACATGGCTCGGAATTTTGAAGTGTTTAACAAGTACAATGAGGATGATGTTATCAAACTTCAGGAAGCTCCAAAAAAAGGTAGTAAGAAGGGTGGGAGGCTTACCTCCCCAACCCCACCATGAAGATCCTCTTCTGGAATGTTAGAGGGTTTAATAAACCCTCTAAGAGGCAGGGTTTTGTCCAAACTCTGCGTAGTTATAATGTAGATATAGTGGTTATTATTGAAACTAGAATAAGGCAGCACAAATCTGAGGAAGTTGCTGAGAGCTTTTGTCCTGGTTGGCATAGGTTTTTGAACTATATAGAGAGTGATTTGGGGAGGCTATGGGTCTACTGGAATCCTGACAAAATTACTGGGAGAGTCTTGTTGCCTGGTAAAAACTTTGTGCATCTTTTAGTCCAAAGTAGTGATGGGGAGTCTTGTTTTATCACGGGAGTTTATGGTTCTAATGAAGAGGGTGAACGTCGAGTTACATACACTGATATGACCTCTTTAAAGGTTTCTTCTATGCCTTGGATTGTGGGGGCGATTTTAATGTTGTTCTTTGCCCCTCTAATACGTCAAATTTAACTGATATGACTAGCTGTATGGGTGATTTTAAAGGTTGGGTGTATACCATGGAGTTGTTTGATCATAGATCGGTTGGGCCACACTTTACCTGGACAAATAGACAGGAGATGAACCGTATTGCGAGACGTCTAGATAGAGTGTTGGTGAATGAGAAGTGGTTTGATGTTTTTCCTGAGTGTATGGTGGAAGTGGTCATTGGATCTTTCTCTGATCACTATGGAATCTTAGTTTCTACCAAGCCTGATCAGGGTACATTACCCAAACATTTCAAGTATTTTGACTTTTGGTCAGAACATCCTGATTTTATGCAGATTGTTAAGGAGGGGTGGGATACTCAGGTCCAGGGGGTGCCTATTCATCGGGTTAAGGTCAAGTTAAATGAGGTGAAGAAGGGTTTGAAGAAATTGAATAAGGAAGCCTTCCCGGATCTGAGTGGTCAAGTAAAAATGGCTGAGAGGCTCTATCTAGCAGCTCAGCAAGAGGCTCTAAGGTCTCCTTTCACAGATAATTTCTCAGAGGTTACTGCTCATCAGAAGAAGTGGGAGGAATTGAAGGTAGCAGAGGAAGGGTTGTATAGGAGAAAGGCCAGAATCAGAGCTTTAACTATGGGAAACAGGGGCACCAGGTATTTTCATCAATCTGTTAAAATCAAGACTGCAAAGAAAGCTATCCGGAAACTGTTCTGGATTCAGGAGAGGAGATTACAGAAGTTAAGCTTATAGCTGGGGAAGCAGTTCAATTCTATCAGTCTTTGTTTGGGATGGTGGATCAGGCAGTGAGTCCAAATAAGTTGGAGCTGGAGGCTCTGGTCACTAAACACTTGTCTGAGGATGAAAAGTCAATGCTTTGTGGGGCTGTCACTTCTGATGAGGTTAAATCAGTAGTCATGAACATGAATCCACATCGAGCTCCTGGCCCTGATGGATTCTCTGCTGGTTTCTTTCAGAAAACTTGGTCTATCATTGGGGAGGACATCACATCATCAGTTCTTGATTTCTTTTCTACTGGCAGGCTGCCAAGCAGTGTTAATTCTACTGCTGTTTCACTTATACCTAAGGTAACCTCTGCCTGTAAACTCAAAGATTTCAGGCCCATTTCATGCATTAATATACTCTACAAAGTCATTGCTAAGCTTCTATCTAATAGACTAAAGAGGGTTCTCCCAAGTGTTATAAGTAATAATCAATCAGCCTTTATAGAAGGGAGGAGAATTGTGGATAATATCCTTATGGCTCAGGAGCTGGTCAGTAGTTATAGTAGAAAGAATCTTTCCTCTCGCTGTGCTGTTAAAATTGATTTGATGAAGGCTTTTGACTCGGTAAACTGGGATTATCTTTTCTTAATGATGGAAACTATGGGATTCCCTGTTAAGTTCATGTACTGGATTAAGCTCTGTGTTAAAACTTCCAAGTTTAGTATTTGCATCAATGGGGGACTTTGTGGTTTCTTTGGGGCAAAGATAGGTGTAAGGCAGGGGGATCCTCTCTCCCCCTACCTTTTCACCATTGCTATGGAAGGACTGTCTTCCCTACTTAACAGAGC